TTAAAGATTTAAAATTTCAGCTACAAAAAACTTCAGTTAATCTATAAATTGATCGATTAATAAAAAAAATTATGTTCAATTAACACTTCTCATCATATATTGTAAAATCATCATATATTATAAATTGTAGAAAAAATGTCATTATTTATAATTTTTATATTATTCAAGGAAAATTGACACTTCTCATCTCTGAATTATATGAAAATAACATTTTCATCCTTTAATTATACACTGTCATTATGACATCACTCCAATTGTATACATAAAACTCAATGATAAAAAATTCACTTTGAAAGACATTTATTTCATCACTTTTGTTATTATATAAATATATAAATAAATAGGTGGAAATTTTTATATATTAATAATTGTATAAACATTTTTATTTATATATTAATAATTGTATAAGCAATTGTACTCCTATATATTTATTTATTCAATATATATAATTTAATCTCATTTATTAAGAAAATAAAAATATTATACATATTTTAGGCGGGAAAAAACATTTAATGCAAGACCTCTATTATTATATAGATATATAGATTACAAACCGAACTTTGTAAAACCACGCATTACAATTGAGTAGTGATCTTACATTAAAGTTGTACTTACCAGAAACACTATTAGTCCATAAGAAAATAACTATTTGTATTATCGGAAAACAAGTCCTATTTAACGTGACAAAATAAGAGCAAACGGTCATTAGTAATACCCTCTTGACCGTTCCCTCCCAACTTGGGGATTCCATGTAGCAGAACTCCAAGTCCTTTGGATAACCTAATACATATCAAAGTTGTGCATTTGTTCAGACTATGAAACATCATATTAGTATCAATGGTGGTCTCATTTCATCAACTCAGTAGTGATAAATGTGGTCTGTGTACATGTGGGCAGTCATGTTCAAGGATTTGAGCATGGCTTCTCCTTGTTTGTTGATGCTAAACACAGACAACCCTCCATTGTTCACGTCGATCGAGCGAAACCTGGACACGAAAAACACAAGAAACTCGAGATCACTCCTCGAGAACATATACATATCAGCTAGTCTTGATAGATAAGGCATATCAGCAAACCTTTCGGGTCCTAATCCAAGAGCTGTGCAGATCAGTGCCCTCAGTATCGATTTGTGAGTCACGACGAGGAAATGGTCGCCCTAACGAGTGCAACAACGACGCGAGTAAGAGGCCGAGAAATGGGAATTAGTACTAGACAGATATGTTTTTGGTCAGACCACGAGGCGTCCTGAGCAGGCCCTAACTGTAGGAGACACCTTTAAGCCCGTACAATACTCAGACTAACCTCAGTTCGCACCGGGCCAGCCCAATTAAGGGGCAAAGTGCAGGTCAGATTGATTTTCCCATATGAGAGGGGGTTCGAATTCCCGACCTCTCTTAAGGGACGAGAGTGCACGACCACTCACGCCAACCAAGCTGGTTTACTAGACAGATATGTTAACGAGCAATTGAGCATAGACTTTATAAGTGTATAGTGAGCTTACAGGAGAGAGTAGTATTTCCTTCCAAGCCTCGCGTGCCCTTTCCCATAGTTTCTCGAGAGGGTAGACGCCGTCCACGCAGAAATTAGCGGGATCCTCACGCCACGTTGTGTACTCCTTTGGGTATATCCGCTTGGCATCCTCTGCCTCCAAACGCTAAACATGATTTAGAGATGTGCAGGGACAATGGGCGATACGAATTATTAAGTTTTTGGGATAGATAAAGAGTAAGACAAACCACAGACCATTTTTCATGCCTTCGAGGAAATAGAGATGAGCCTCCTTCAACGAATCAAGAAACACGAGAGGCTGCTCCCTCCCCTGCCATATAACCTCGGCTGTGGACTGCATCAAACGCAACCGTTAATAAGCAACAAATTCTTAAAAGAAAAAAACACGAAACGAATGTTCTAAAACAACCTTTGCACGCGAGATTGGACTTGCAAAACATTGGTCGAAGTGTATCTCCTCGATCGCCTTTCTACACCGCTCGGCTTGCATAACTCCTTTTTCTGTCAGCACGGAGAGATTCGAGCTTCCCTACACACGTGATCAGTTCGATTGGTTAGCAATGGAGCCGAAAGAACGAGGGGATTGGAGACGAGTGATCAAACCTGCACTCTACTTTCTTCGTTCCAAGTGCTGTATCCGTGTCGCACAAGCGTGACCTTCTTAGGCGAAGATAACGCCTTCTGAGTCAGCGATTTCGTTGCTCGATAGAAATCATATGCGCTCCCGGTCAAGGGAATATCATTTCCAACTTTTTCTGTTCGAGAGAATGAGAAAATCGGGGTTGAGTTTAAGAAAGAACAAAGAATTTGAGAATCTTAGGACTTGGGAGACCATTGAAACATCAGAAAAAGGGGAATAAAACCACACATCACTGCATCAGAAAACATTCGAAATCAATCCGACAACGAAAGATTTTAGTACTTCCATGAGAACCATTTCTTAGCTGCTACTTAGGATGTCCCAAATCATGAACAACAGATGTTAGTATATTTGGTTTATATACTGCTATCTATCACCACTATTATTCTAAAAGCCTAAGCTTTTGCAACAGTTAACAATCAAAGAAAACACAGTCAAACACACCAATTCAACCTAAGCTTCTGATTCTTGAATTTCATCTCTCAAAAATCCTAATTTCAAGATTACCTGTTGTGGTACCATTCTAAAAGCATAAGCCTCCCTGCGGGATTGGCCTATTGGCCTTCTTGCCTTCTTGGTTTGAGCGGGGTCACTGACCGTTCAGACTGTTCAGACTCTGTTCGTTTATAAACCGAGCTCTAAATTTTGTTTGTTAATGTTCATTTACCTTAATAAACGAACATAAACGAACGCTTACCGAACACGAACACCAGTAGTTTACCGAAAGCTCTGTTCGCTAACACCCCTAGGGGTCAGCTATTGGCAACCAAAATAACACATTCAACCACAAGGTCACAAGTTCGACTCCCTGCCGGATTGGCCTATTGGCCTTCTTGGTATGAGCGGGTCAGCTATTGACAACCTAGACTGGTTTACCTCCTTGTGATCTTTGACGCCTAGGGTCATAAGGCGGTGTTTACCTAGTTTACACTCTCGAAGTCTCGTGTAGTGAGTGTGGATTTCCTCGTTGCTCAAAATAACACATTCATACACACCAAATCAACCTAATAACCTTCTGATTCTTGAATTTCATCTCTCAAAAACCTTAATTTCAAGATTACCTGATGTGATATCATTCTAAAAGCATAAGCTTTGCAACAGATAACAATCAAAACAAACCAACCCAGACTTCTGATTCTTGAATTCTTGAATTTCAATCTCTCAAATAAACCTTAAATTTCAAGATTTTACCTGTTGTTGTGGTGGGCAGCTCTGGAGTTGAAGTGGAGCACAGAACCCTACAGGTGGAGCCAGAGTTACCAGCATGAATCCTAGAGGATTTCTTGGAGTTTGGAGTGGAAGTTCGAGGAAAATAAGGACAGGTAACAAGAGCTCTGCAAGTAGTCATCCTCGGAAACCTCAAAAAAGCTCAATCAAAACTGGTTCTTGAAATGTTTAAGAATGTTTTTTTTCCAGGTTTGGGTTGTCCAAGATGAGCTTCCATTACCACTGGTGGAGATTGTGGGATAGGGAGATAATAATATGGTCAATTGGTCATCAATCGTCATGGGTTTCTGATATTTTCGGTAATTTAATTTATTTGGATATCCAATATCTAGTTGTATGGCGGGAATTGATTCATACCCGATCAAATATGGTATTATCCTCTATGCTTTCTTCAACAGTCCATTTTACTCTCATTTGTTGGGTTATTTTTTCAATAGTTATTGCTAGGACCGTCATACGATCCAAAAATAAGATTTTTTTTTTTTTTTTTAAGGAATAAGATTCAAATTGGTCACTAAACGTAACCTGAAAATGTAATTAGGTCACTGAACGAAAAAAAAAAAAAAAAAAAATTACACTACTGAACACTTTAAATGTATGCAATTTTACCTGATATTAAGTTATCATAAATTTTAGCAGGTTACCTACTTACGTGGCAATTGAGTTGGTATTTTTAATAAATTAACAAAAAAAAACGACGGGGCGGCCGCTAGTCACACCCTTCCCCCACCCCCTCTTCCTTCGTCTCCGACGGAGACAAAGGAGGGGGGTGGCCGCCGTTGTTTTTTTTTTTTTTTTTTTTTTTTTTTAAATTATTATTAAAAATTATTAAAAATGCCAACTCAGTTGCCACGTAAGAATGTAACCTGCTAAAAATTGATGGTAACTTGCTATCCGGTGAAATTGCATACATTTAGAGTGTTCAGTAGCCTAATTGCACGTTTTTGGAGTGTTAAGTGGCCTAATTACATTTTTTTTTTCATTCAGTGGCCTAATTGCATTTTCAAGTTACGTTCAGTGGCTAATTTGAACCTAATATTTAATTTTATTTTTTTGCACGCCTAGTTATAATATACATTTTTATAACTCATAATGTACATTATTCTAAAACATAATGCACATTATTCTAAAACATAATGTACATTATATTACCCAGATGTTTCATTATTCTAACACGTAATGTACATTATTCTAACACATAATGTACATTATTTTTACTCATAATATCCACGACGATGTTTTTGGACCATGGTCCACACAGCTGTTTGGACCACGTCCACACAATAATTTGCCTTATTCATTTTTTGGTGTAGGCTAAAGAGACCCGTAATCACCATCTGAGACTGTGTACTGGGTAAATTTGCTCTTTAAGTAATAACTTGCAAACCACACTAAATTAACTCAAAAACTATATCATGAATTTCATACTCGCTCTTATATATACCAATGAGGAAGTAAATTGAGTCTACATAACTTTGAGCCTCACCCCAAATTGTACCCTCCTGCGCACAATGAGTCCAATCTCAACTTCAAACCGACGGTGAAGCTCTATCTCCAGATTATCCGTTAATAATACCTGGTACAACTCAAATAACATACATAACATACATAGTTGCACATGATGAAAAAAACACTGATATCGATATCGCAATACATTGAATAACCTCAAACTGCACATGCTGATTCCTAGAAATGTATCAAAGGTTAATCAAAAAGAAAAAAAAAATACTAAAAACCCAAACTAAACATGAGACCAAACTTGTTAGCTAGCTAGGTTTTAAGGGTGTAAAGACTGAAGACATTGTGGAAAGAGTAAAGAAGAAGCAGAAAATAGAGCACAAAAGCTGCAAAACCAGCAATGAGAGCTCCTTCAACATGATCACAGAAGTTTGAAACTTGCCCACAGATTGGCAACCAACCAGCATGACTGTTCCCATTCTTCCCCACTTGTGCCAGTGCTAGACATGCTGATATGCTTGAATCCAGCAACAATGTCATAATCTACATACCCAAAAAGTGAAAGGAAAATGAATCAGAGCATATAATGTATAAAATATGAACGTGTAATCTTACTATCAACTTAAACTTTTAGTTGGACAGAACATGTTCGATCTTTAATTTAAACTTTTTAGTTAAAGACGGAGCACATCCTAGAATATGTTGTTCACATATTAGGGAAACTACTTTCTAAGATAGTCTCCGAAGAGCTGGTCAAGAGAGTTTTATTGGAAGACAGTGGCCTGTTTGATAAAATAATAATTAGCCTATGAACCAATTTTAGCTTATTAGACCATTATTAGCTGTTTGAATGTTTGATTAATTAGTTTTTTATTACAACTTATTGCTCCAAAATGTTAAAATTCAAAAACTTGCTCAAAGTAGTTTTTTTATCAGCTTTTTGAGAAGTCATTTTGCATGTAATCAGCTATCAGCTAACAGTTAATTTACCATACACTTTTCTACAATCAGCTAATGCTATCAACTAGTCAAACCTACTAATCCAATCAGCTAACATCTATTTACCAAACACCTCCAGTATAGAAATACCCAAAGTTAAGCAAATTCAAGCGGGCCGAGCAGAGCTACCTTCGTGTATTTTTCTTTGAGTTTTTCCCTCCTCCTATTAAACTCCTCAATCTAGTACAAGTGAAGGGACATGTTGGATATATAATATATACTCCGTAATATATAATATATAATATATAATATAGATAACATAAATATATAGTTTCATTATGAGTTTAAATATCTACTTGAAACGAAACATATTTAACTTTCAACTCATACCGTATCTGAAACAAGCAAAACGCGTCTAGCCCAATTCTTTGAAGTGAATAAAAGAACTATGAGGCTGTACCCACTGGCAATGGCATTGACAACAACAAAGTATCTGCACACCAAGAACATCACAACATCATTAGCAGACTGTTACAACATAAGACATGAAAAAAAAAATGGGGGAAATTAAAAATGACTGAAAATTACATGAGAGTTGGTGAACTGGTGAACTTGGCTTCAAAGGTGAGACCAAAGATTTGAGAAAAATCATTGGTGGTGACCATAACAATGGTTGCAGCCACAGTGCCTCCCAAGGCCAAAAGCCTTAAAAGAAAAACAGGAACCCACTTTGCAAACTTCATGACCTTAAAGATCATTAACTCTCAAAACTCAATTAATAATCAATGTAGTATTATATATAGATATATATTAAAGAAATAAATAATGACACTAAGAAGGGAGGGCCAATGATGGGTGTTAAAGAGTTTTTAATAGTCAAACACTCAAGATTGTGGTGGTGAGAGCATGAAATAATGTTATAGAAATTAATTATGTATAAATTAAAGAAGGGTTGGTTCCAAGATGTCATAATCTTGGTTACCTAATTTGTGCACAAATTATTTGTGCATTGTCTTAGGGGCTTAGACAACTTTTTTGAAATCGATCTCCAATGATTTCATTTTTTATGGGTTTCTATAGAGATGACAATTTTTTCTTCCCACAATACAGATCCTCGATCCCCACACTTACGGTGGGGGAGACTGGACAGGGATAGCGATACCCCGTCTCGCCCCGGATTTATAATATACATACACACATTAAATTCTTGTTTTTTTTTTTTAAATATAATTTTTATATGTTTTTGTTCCATATATTACTTTATGATCCCTATTCTTTGGATCAGTTTACTGATTATCATTGTACTTGAAAAGTTTAAGTTACATTATTGGATTAATTAACACCAAGTTGGTATGCAATAAATACCCATTTCAAAGCTATCATTCTAGACTAGATAGTAGATAGGGGAGTCCCAAGATGATGATATTATTTGTGAGGGGAAGATGAAAGTCAAATGTTTAAATAACTGGTTTTGTCAATAATGTCTTACAACGTTTTCAAGAGTAGTTAGTTAGTTAGTGGTATACATGGGTTTAGCGTTCAATAGGCAGTATTTGGGAAAGATTGAGATCAATGTTCGAATCTCAGCAGTAACATTGTGGGGATCATGCATAAAGTGGACAGATCCCTTGTGCACATTAATATTTGGTCATGTGATTTACATTCTCTCAAATGTTCTGTTAGGTTGGGGTATGGGGATTGGATTCAACCTTTTGAGAGAAGAAGAATTAGTGGTATACATATAGGGGTAGGGTGGTCTTGTTAGTGCATGTGGGGGGCCGTTATCTCTTCAACTACCTCCATGACTTCTCTTATCTGCCTTCCTCAAATAATATGGGTTTATAAGATGGCAACTAATCAAAGGAAGCATACATGCTAGCAATCCTAGCATATGGCTTTGGACTTGCTACAATAATTCATGTTGAATTCTTAATTTCAAGATCAAAGACTATGTTTTGTTTTTTAATAATGTTTTGCATTTAATAAACTCATGTGTATATGGGTGCAGGGAGGGAGAGGAAGCATTTCAGAAAAATCAATTTATTGAGATTAGTTCTTTCGATTGACATATTAAAAATTGATTAGTTCAATCTCTATGTGTAGGTGGGTTATCGAGGGTAAGGGTATGATTTTTTATTTTTATTTTTCAGTCCAAAGGTCCAAGTGGTTACTACCCCACGAATATTGACCTAAGATAATATATTTCATTGAAGGAGTTAAATTTCATTTGAATTTTGAAGTCCAATGAGTAATTGTACTATTTTACTCTTTTAGGTTTTACCCAAAGTTGAAAAGATAAAGAGAATAGATTATCTATGGCTCTATGCCCAAAACAAAGAGAATAGGTAGTTATCATTGCCCAAAACGTTCCTCACTCTTTGAGAAATATATCTTTCTGTAACCTCTCTTTCACGATCTCCCTTTAATTTTCTTTATTAATAGCAAACTTTCTATCAAAGCATAACCATGCACATGTATTAATTATCACAACAATATAGTAAATTTTTTTTACTTTACTTAATTTAAAAAATAAAAAAAAAAAACTAGTTTTTTCTCTTTTGAATTTTTAAATTAATATAATATCTCAATTTATATTCCTTACATTATATGCGCTCATAAGTTTCTCTACATGTTGTGCACTTGTGCTAGCCCTTAAGGTCATTAACACAAAAACACTTAGGGTCCGTTTGGAAAGCTGGAAAATGACTTCTGGAAAATGTTTTCTGGAAAATGAGTCATTTTCCGGAAAACATTTTCCTTTCCAGTGTTTGGTTGCATTCTGGAAAACTGTTTTTGTGTGTTTGGTTCATTTTCTGGAAAATGAGTAGAATTGTATAATTAAACATTTTAATTATTTTATTTAGAATATTACAACATGTATAATAATATAATAATAATTTTAAATATAATAAAAAAATAACTAATAATATATCAAAAATATTATGGTGGTGGTGATGGTGTAGTGGTAGTGATGTTGTTTGTTATATAATAATAATAATAATAATAATAATAATAATAATAATAATAATAATAATAATAATAATAATAATAATAATAATAATAATAATAATAATAACTGGTGGTGGTATGACGGTGGTAGCAGTGGTGGTGGTGATGGTGTGGTGGCGGTGGTATGGTGGTGGGGGTGGTGGTGGCGGCAACGGTGGTTGCGGTGGTATGGGGGTGGTGGTGGCGACGGTGGTTGCGGTGGTATGGCGGCGGTGGTGGTAGTGGCGGTGGCGGCGGTGGTGGTAGTGGCGGTGGCGTGATGGTGGTGGTGGTGTGGTGGCGGTGGTTGCGGTGGTATGGTGGTGGTTGCGGTGGTGGTGGTGGCGGCGGCGATGGTGGTAGTGGTGGTGGTGTGATGGTGGTGGTGGCGGTGACGGTGGTTGCGGTGGTATGGTGGTGGTGGTGGCGGCGATGATGGTTGCGGTGGTATGGTGGTGGTGGTGGTGGCAGCAGTGGTGGTGGTATGGTGTTGGTGGTGGTAGTGGTTGCGGTGGTATGGTGTTGGTGGTGGTAGTGGTGGTGGTGTGGTGGCGGTGGTTGTGGTGGTATAGTAGTGGTGGCGGTTGCAGTAGTGGTGGTGATGGTGGTAGTGAGGTGGTGGTGGTATGGTGTTGATGATGTTGGTGGTGGTGTGATGTTGGCGTAAAAGTTGGAAAATGACTTCCCCCAAAAAAAAGGGGAAGTCATTTTCCTCCAAAACAAGCCTATTTTCCAAAGTCAACGGAAAATGATTTCCGTTGACTTGATTTTCCAAGCACATCCAAACAATGAAAACTTGGAAAATGATTTCCAGAACTCATTTTCCAGGTTTCCAAACACACCCTTATTTTCCTTATCTTTTCAACCATTTGATATAATCAGAATATTGTTATCCTTTCCATTTTAGAAAGGAGACACCAAACTAAGAGATTTAAAGAATCTTGCTAAACTAAAATAATAATAATAAAATAAAAACCAAACTAAGAGATTTAAAGAATCTTGCTAAACTAAAATAATAATAATAATAAAATAATAATAATAAAAAATTAGAACTATGCTAGCTTTACAAAAACTACAACATTTTTAGTCATTGATGTGACAGTTTTTAATAGATTGAGGTTTAAAAAAATTAAAAAGAAAACAAAAATAAAAAGTGAACATACAAAAACTGCCACATCAGGGAATGATAGAAATATAATAAATTTTGTAGAGGTGGAAGCATTTTTCAAAATATTATATGTTGTTTTATTATATTAACAAAGAAAAGAAAGGGGTAGAGATGAAGTGTGGTTTTAGTCATGAAATGCACATTTTAGTCATAAAGTGTGCCTATTAGGCATAGATCGAACACACATTTTGATAAAGTGTGTTCTTTTTTTTTTTGGATCAAGGAACAGGGATATATACCCGAAAGTTCTCAAGAGCTAGATGACTCTTTAACTCTACAATTACAAATAACATTGCTTAAGTCCATGAGATGAGCCTCCTCGCTATGTAAGAGACACGAACTGAATGTTGTCCAGTCTTCCTACAGAAGAGTCCCAACGTTAGCAAGGGAATCAACTACTCTATTTTGCTCTCGATAGATCGTACGAAGAGAGATCCTCCAGTCTCTTTCAACCCAACTTCTGGCCTCCTCAATTGTTCCACGAATAGGATCCCAAAGTGCAGTGTTGTTTTGGATCCACTCCACGACTGTTCTCGCGTCCGATTGCACCTCCACGTCCCGAATGCCTTTGTGCCAAGCCCAATGCATGCTTCTCATGATAGCCCTGGCCTCCATTGCTTCCGGTGAGTCCATAATAAAGTGTGTTCTTTAGTCACAGAGTAAACTATTTAGTCCTAAAACATGTACGCATTTTAGTCTTGAAGCACTTTTAAGTGTCAAAACAATTTTGAAACATTAACTAGCTTGGTTGGTGTGAGTGACCGTTAACCTTATCCCTTAAGAGAGGAAAAACCATGGTCTGACAAAAAAAAAAAACAATTTCAAAACATTTTTAAAATATATAGCCCTGTTTGGTAACATAATTATTTTATCAGTCAATTTTGGCTTATTTGACCACTATTAGTTGTTTGACTTGGTTAAATAATTAATATGGGTGTTTGACTAATTAGCTTTTTGTACAAACTGCCCAAAACAGCTTTTCCAATAAATTTTTTGAGAAATTCATTTTGCATTTAATCAGCTATCAACTAATTTACCAAACACTTTTCTACAATCAGTTAATGTTATCAACTAGTCAAACCGACTAACCAAATCCGCTAACAATTATTTACCAAACACCCCCATAGTTTGTTCAACCACTTATGTGTCTGATGTCTTGATATACTTGTAATATTGATGTGTGGGTAAAAAAAGAAAATATGAGCACATAAAGCATTGGTCTAGCGGATAAGAAACTTCACTTTAAAACTTGTTTTCAATGACAAGGTGTTGGTTCGATCATTGCCATTAACATTGGGGATTTGTGTTTGGATGGGCTTCTTGTGTGCAAAATATATACAGTTTCATGTTGAGTTTCGAAGATAAAATGGTTCAATTTACTTCTTTATGAGCATAACGAGCGGGCGGGTTCATGAGATTCATGATATAGTATTATAGTTCAGTGAAAACAATGAAATCTGAGTTATAAAAAGGGGGTGGGGCAATCGTTATGCTATGGACCCGTGTCCAGCATACATCGTGGACACGGTAACGGTGCCGTTAGTGGCACCTTTATCTTTCACCATTTTTTTTTAAAATTTCAGATTGCTTCGTTATAGGAGCATATGTTCATAATTTTATCACTATATGTTCATAATTGTAAGTACATAATGTCAGAGCTCTGTGTTCATAATTCCATAACTGTACATTCATACTTCCATAACTGTACATTCATAATTCCGTAACTGTACATTCATAATTCAATAACTGTAAATTCATAATTTTCGAAGCTCTATGTTCATAATTTTAGAGCTCTATGTTCATAATTGTAAGTTCATAATGTCAGAGCTCTGTGTTCATAATTTCATAATTGTACATTCATAATTTTCGAAACTCTATGTTCACAATTTTAGAGCTCTATGTTCATAATTTTATCACTATATGTTCATAATTGTAAGTTCATAATGTTAGAGTTCTGTGTTCATAATTCCATAATTGTACATTCATAATTTCATAATTGTACATTCATAATTCCATAACTGTACATTCATAATTCCACAAACGAATAATGCCGTTAACGGCGACGAGACAAAATCAATTTTTTTTTTACTGAAATATCGTCGTTTTAGACTCGTGTCCATAATGCATTGTGGACACGAGTCCACAACATAATTTGCCGGGGTGGGGGATATGGGCCACAAAGGCCCACTATGAACAAAGTGGGCTCAGATATAGCTATGTAGATTAATTTTTCAACTGTGATAGAACCCTTTATCAAAATTTTAAAATTAAGGGTCTCTTTGAAAATTTGGAAAATGTTTTCCGAGTTTTCCGTGTTTGGATACAGTAGAAAAATTCAATCAATGGAAAACATTTTTTGTTAACTGGGAAAAATATAGACATTTTTGTGAAAAATGACTTACATCAAATTTTGGCGTAAGTCATTTTCCGCCAACACTCAAAACATGATTGCCTTCGCTACTATTATTGTTTTCGATTCCTCAGTTTCCATCTATTCTTATATTTTCCAGAACACAACCAAACACAAAAAAAAAAAAGAAAATATTTTTCAGAAAATGAGTGATTTTTCCGAAAAACCTTGAAAATCTTGTTTCATCCTTTAGGTTCTTTTACCTCTTGTTCTGCTAAACAAACAAAACCTTGAAAATTTAATATGTCCGCTGTTGACATGCACGTGCCACCCTCTTTGGCAAGCCATGGAACCCAAGAATTTATCAATCATATTACATTGAAACGACATTACTTTGATCTAAGTCTATATTGCAAGATAGTCAAGATAGACTAAGGGGCCGTTTGGTTCAGGTTATATAACATAACCAAGGGAATGTGACATTCCAAAGCTCACATACCTATGTTTGGTTCACATTATCTCAGGGAATCTAACATTCCCCAGGAATGTCACATTCCCTCCACATAGGATTTTGAAGGGAATGTGATTCCCTTCAATTTCTAAGGTTATGTAGGATAACCTTGGTTATGTTAGTTTATTACACACACACACACACACACACACACACACACACACATATATATATATATATATATATATATATATATATATATATATATATATATATATATATATATAATTATTTTTGTAATTATATGTTTTTTATTTTTATTATGTTAGGTTAGCATATAAAATAATTTTGTTTCTCAAGTTCAATATTTTAGTTAATATTTTAAAATCATGTAATTATATATGATACCGTTATCTTATTTATTTATTTTAATTTTTAAATTTATTAAAATATATGAAAATATGTTAAGGATATTATAGTGTGTGAATAAAAGATAACCCTAAACCAAACATGACTATATTACATACCCCAATTTTAACCAAACACAGAAATCTAACATTCCCAGTAATCTAACATTCCCAGCAATCTAACATTCCCTAAGGTAATCTGACATTCCGTGAACCAAACGACCCCTAAGTACTACCTTATTTCACAATATAACGATGGTAACCCAACCACAAATGTATATAATAGGGAAATGTTTTTCTTTTTCTTTTTCTTTTTTTCTCATATTAAAATAAATTGTGAATATTTAGATAACATTTGTTCTCACTTTTTTTTTTAAAGACAATAAACACATTACAGATCGATTTGGCTATATATTCTAACAAAAATATATATTTTTTAAAAAAAGTGGAAATTATGACATCACTTCAGTTCTTCACTCATCTGCCATTAATGGAGAGCAAAATCTGAAATTGGCAGCGTCCATTTTGGTCACCGCAAAATGCCCCAAAGCATCCACCAAATCTACCAAATTGGCATTGCAGAGAAATCTCTCACTGCTCACTCTTTCAACCTCTCTCCCAATCTCGTGCACAAACACCTGCGTTTCCGCCTCGCCGCCCACCTTGCTCCTGGCCAGCACGCCGGCGGTGAATATCGCCGACATTCTCCCCGGCGACGACGGCGCGTACCCCCGCGGCCCGTCCACCAAGATCACGTCCCAAGCGACGTCGTATATGTGGTTCGGGAGGTCGTTGACGGCCAACTTGCAGTCGGAGAAGAGCAGATTCTGCACCGGCCGGCACTCTTTCATGCCACGTTCCTGTGTAACAATTTCCCATTATAATTTATTATATACTCCACCTATTCTATTTACTATTACATTATTTTTGAATGCTATGACTCTATTACATTATCTATTCAAACATACTTTCTTAACCTAATAAAGCACAACGAGTCAACAACGCTTCAATTGAGGCTCGATCTCATGACCTCTCACATGGAAAAGGTCACTACTCACTACATGTCATTTGAGTCATGGTTGCAGTCGGCGCTAGTCGAGCGCCCGAGCAGCGGCTAGCGCCTAGGCGGAATCTAGGCAACGCTAGGTGAGCGCCAAAACAATAGTGAAAAATTTGTAATTTGACAATTTTAATGAGGTTGTTTTCAACATTCAATCAAATAACACATCCATATAAATGAAATAATGATAATTCATAAGTTATAGCATCAAAATAAATATTAAAAATAAAAATACTCAAATACTTCAATTATCCAAAAATTCAAAGTATTAAATTAGTCTACGAACAGCTGGACCAGACGAAATCGGAAGAAATCAACCGACTCGACCGAGTTGGCCGCCTAGCCGGCCACCTAGGCATCCAGTCGATTTTTGGGCGCCTAATAGTGAAAGCGGAACGACCTAGGGGCGCTTAGCGCCTAGGCGCCGCCCAGACTGATTTTTACAACAGTGATATGAGCACAAGGTGCTTGACAATTTTTTATATTTAATATATGAGCTTTTTTTAAAAAAAAATAACTATGATTTTGTGATTTACATTTTATTTAGTATTACATTTATTATGTATAATATATGGTATTAGAATTTTAATAATCTTTATTACCTTGGCGTGCTCCAAGAGATGATACAATTGGGCGGCTTTGGTGGTGAACTGAATGTCGTACGCTTCAATCCCGCGGTGCTTCTCCTCCGCTTTCGCCACCATGTACGCGCTCTCGTCCACGAACACCGTCCGCCCGCCGTGGTTCAGCGAATGCCAGAGGAGGGTCTCGTGGCTCAGCCCGAAAACAAGGAAGTTGCAGGCGTTTCCGCAGCGGCGGAGGGCAGCCGCCACGGCGCCCACTTCCGCGGAGGACATTCGGGAGGACAGATAGGTGGTGTTCGCCACGGCGGCGTAATGCACAAGCGCTTCCAACACCGGCTGGGGTATTCCCGCCGGAGGCTTTCCCCCTCCCTCAACGGCGTCTTTGGCGGAGAAGAAAGTGAGGGCAGAAGCCAAAGCGAAGAATGAGATGAAGCCCAGAAGCAGAACACGAGGAGATGATGCCGGCACCGCCGGTGGGTGGAGAACTATGAGCTTAGTAATTCCGGCCTTCATTTTCTTCACAGGGAAAGTGGATGCTGAGTTGCTGACTAGCTGCAACACGAGTTGACTCACTGGGTTATCACTGAGTTCTGTCACAGTGGGAATCTGGGATTTGAGAAGGTAGATAACTAGATTATATATATGGGAGGTGGGACCCTTTAAGGCCATTATCACTGTACCTAGGACCTTGTAAAAATTCAAGGTATATGTAAAATCTTGGACCTTATATGAATGGTATGAATAGTGAATGTGAAGAAGGAGCCATATTGAAGTGAACATGTTCATTGTATGGTTGTATGGTGCTCTAGATAAATTAATCAACTAAATGTTTTATATGGATGTAGACATGAATATGAAAGCTTCATTACTTTTACCTGTTTTCCAATAATAATTAATGTAGATATAAACAATGTACACCGTATACTTAAAGTACTTACAAGATGAAAGTGTGTGCTGGTTGACTTGCCATACTCATCTTGACCATTTAAGGATGAAGATCTTTACCTTTATGCTTTGTGGTATTATTTAGGGCATTCCAATAGAGAGATTTTCATTGATTTTTGTAGGTATTAATGCTTATGTGGAGGAGAGAGAAGAAAATGAGTTGTTGCACGAAAAGTGGGTTTTTGTCTTCAAATGTGGAGCCCGCATGGAGATGCGGTAAAACCTTTATTGTAAATTTTTTCGATCTCAATTATTTAATTAATTATGTTCTTATAAACATTGCTTCATCTTGTTCTCAATTGTTCTTCATATTGTACTATCAATCTATTATCCAGGTAGTATGAAACCTAAAGGATATTGTCAACAAAATTATAATATTACCCGACTTTGCGGGCTTTTGCAGTAAAAATAAAGACAAAATCAAACTATTTATTAAAAAAAAAAAAAAAAAAAAAAACTTCATATTTAACCGTCATCAGGAATAGGATTAAAGGAAGATCTCAAAATCAATAGATCATAATCTCCTCACCGAAAATGTCATTAGAAATTGCGTTAAAGAAAACCTCGAAACCAAATAGTCATTAAGAATTGCATTAAAGACACATCTCAAAATCAAATATTATAAATAGATCATAATCTCCTCCACCAAAGCATAAAAAGCCATATAACACTTGTGGGTCTTTGAAATGTGCTCCAAAATGCCTACTCATATCATAATACAGAAACTGATTTTAAAAATGACAAATGAACAAAAGAAAACATGACTTCTTCAACTGAATTGTTCAAACAGTGATCAATGACAGAGTTCTAGTCATAAAATTAGTTCATTTCCTTTGTAAGAATTGATGGGGACACTTCACTTCTATTTCACGAAAACTGAAGCCAACAGAAAGTATACTCTTGTCCAAGACGATTACAGTATCATGATTGTGTAATTAACATATCAATAACTTCGGCCCCAGTAAGTCCATTTCTTGGCAGGCTTGCCCGATGCAAAGCACAGCGTTCCTGTGAACCCGAAAAAGAAAATGTAAATTGCAAAAGAAATAGTGTAGTACAGTCTACAAGCCTATCCATATCAAAGTAGTTGAAATCTTGTACTGACTATCGAACTACAATGGCACCATAACAATAAATACATTTGGTAAAGATAAAAATGACAATGATGAGGTGGAGGTGATGATGATCAAATTCCTCCTACTTAAGGAAAGGTGGTTAGTGCTTCACCCCTCTACATAAGTACTATGCGAAATGCAATGACATCCATAGGTTTATATTTTAAATGTGCCACATAATGGCTATTTTTTTTTTGGGCGTACCAAGGTTTCCACCGTCGAACACAATGACTAATCCCTTGCTGGATTGTAGGCACCTCTTTTGGGTGGGATAGCTGGCCTAGGGATTTAAGGCTGCTCCATACCCAAAGCCAAGGATCGAACCCTTGACCTTTGGTTAAGGATGGGATGAGTCCCTTCCACTCAGCCACACCCCCCCAGGTTACATAATGGCTATTATTCCATTGAAAACTCTCTAGTGCCTAGAACAAGTAAAACATTACACTAGGTCACTACATATCTTTTTTATAGCCTACCTGAGTTACTGCTTAATTACAAGTATCAAAAAAAGTGAAACCAAATCAGACTTCTACACTAAATGAAAATTTCTCAGTTAATGTATGAATTTGGGAAACAGTACCTTCTGGCAGCTCAGGCTGGTCAAATGGAGAACAAAGTGTCTTTGCTGCGCCCATCTCTCCTTTAGTCCGTGCCTTCACGTCTTTCTCAACATCCTACAGAGCACAAAGCAAAAGGTCACATGAAATGAAACGAGAGCAAGGACAGAATCTGGGCAATTGTACTTCTGTAATTAGCACTGTCTTCACGAGCAGGATAAACTGTAAAACCCCACCTATGATGCAAACTACAAGTATGAACAAAAAGGTGCAAAAGGTAGCTTGCTTAAATGCAAGAGTTGAAAAAACATGGGTGAAGTTCTTTAGGTGTTTGCCATGAAGTTCTCCAATCAAATTATAGCATGTGGATAATTTTTTATATAATGTAACCTTCCACATGTGAATTATTCTCCAGAGGTTACAATTCAGTTGGAGAACTTAAGGAAAACATCTATGTTTTCACCTAGGTTTGTTCCCTACAAAATTTTAATAACCAAATGCTCCAGATTCCACAATGTCCTTGACAAAATTTACTTTTTCTTTATTTTTAGCATTTTGTAGAGGCAAAAAAGGATACAGAATGCTTAAGTATGTTCTTGAAAGGTGAAATTGAAAAAATAAAATAAAATAAAATAAGTGAACTCTTACAGTCTTACACTCCTCAAGTCAAAAAGTGGAAAAAGAAAAAATAAAAATTTGAAATATTTATGAAACTATAGGGTACAGTAACCAAATTAGTTTCAATGAAGTAGAATTTAAACATTTGAATTAAAAACTGTTTTTCTCCTCTATTACCTGCAAATCTGCACTTAAGAAAATAACCATTGTCAACTCAGAGAATCTTACTCAAAGCTTACATTCGATGCTAAAATTTAAATTTAGGAAATTCACCCAGTTAATTCCCAATAACCGCCCTATATAATGGTGTAAACAGCCAGCAAACCTTTTGCCTTTCATTATCCAGTGGTTCTTAATCCAAACAACTCGCACCCAGGCACCAAATTCTAAGTACAACAAAAAAATCCTGAGAGACAAAGTATTCAAACCTCTTCATCACACCAAGGAGCCAAGACCAACTTCTTTCCATTCAGAGCATTCACAAATTCATCCCAGGTTTTCACAATCTGGACACAGGCTTCTCGCTTTTGTTTTGCAACATCAAAGAGATTTTGTTGAATAGTAGAGAGCATATCTTTTACTTGTTCAACTATGTTAGCCATGGGAATGTCGGTTTTAGCACCATTGTCACGCCTCACAGCTCTTACCTAAAAAAGATATTTCCAGCATTCCTTTTGTGATAATCATTCAATGTATAAAATGAAAATCAAGAGACTGCCTCATATACTATGTTTCCCTTCCATAGTTCTTCATGATTTTGTAAATATTAATAGTACAAAAATATTTTATGACATTCATTGTTGACAGGGGCGGAGCCAGAAAACTCGAGTTGGGGGGCAGATGTAGTAGAGAAAATTTACAATGTTAGTTGACATTATAAGTTATAACTAACCGTACCATATCATTATATATACCATACATTATTGTGATTATTATTGATAATGATTTCTAATTATACTCGTGTAATAAAGTATAAAATACATAATTATATGAGTACGATCGACACAGATGTCGATCATTACTTTAGCATTTTTTTCACATAGCACAAAATATATAATAATAATAATTATTATTATTATTGCATTTATTTAAATATAGATTGTCACTTTTTATCAAATACAAAGTTGTCACCATTTTTTTTATAATTAACTGATATTCATTTTACTGATATAACTGAATATTTCAAATTTTGAGAGATAAAGACAAAAACCAAGATCACGAATTAAAGAATCAATATTAATTTCTGTCAATTTCAAAACTAATCATTTAAAGTAGCAAATGTACATCTTAAAAGTGTAAATAAATAATTAAAACACACAATAAATCACTAATTAATTTATGAACGTAAATAATAAAACTAAAGCATATATCTCAAATTTGAAGATTTTTGAAATTAAAATGGATACTTGATGGCCTTCATTATTAAAATCATGATAAAAGAAAAAAGATAATAAAGAAAAATGGTGACTTTAATTATTTGATTTATTTCTTTTTATTTAATGAATGAATTTTAATATATATATATATATATATATATATATATATATATATATATATATATTGAGTTCATTTAATATTTTAATATAAACATAATAGATTTAAAAAAAAAAAAAAAAAAAAAAAAATTGGAGGGGGGGCCAAAAGTGTATTTTATCCTTACTATATTAATATATACATACATATTTACTAAAAATTTTAAAGGCAGTGGCCCCCCTACCCCCTAATGTAGCTCCGTCCCCGATTGTTGAGCATTTAGTTCAGTGTATATATTGTTTCATAGCCAATTATTTTTTAATCCATGGTATCAAGCAAAAAAAAAAAAAGGTAAAGAATATGGACTAATTACCTGGTTATTGTCAAGGTCTCTGGGTCCTATTTCAATCCTAAGAGGAACCCCCTTCATTTCCCAGTTAGAATATTTCCACCCAGGTGAATAGTTATCTCTCAAGTCCGCCTCCGCACGAATACCAGATTCACTCAACTTTTTAACAGTGGCATCACATGCATCAAAGATCCCTTGTGTGTTAGCATTCTTGTAAGGCACAGGAATAACAATCACTTGGGTTGCTGCAACTTTTGGTGGCAACACCAACCCTTTATCATCCCCATGAACCATGATCATCACTCCAATCTGTCATAGGACAAGTTACACGCAAAAGTGATGATTACCTTAACCTAGAGACTACCAGACAAATATGTTCAGAAGTGTAAAGCAGGGTTATTTAGAAAAGATAAATGTTTGAAAATTTCATTCTACCGTTCTGGTAGTGTAGGCCCATGAATTCTGCCAGACCATAGCTTTTTCTCCTTTCTCATTTTCAAAATTGATCTCAAACATTTTTGCAAAATTCTGCCCCAAGCAGTGCGAAGTTGCACCTTGTATACCACGACCAGTGTTTGGAATAAAAGCCTGGGGAAGCAAATATATGTAACCATTTAATACACCCATGACAGCAATTTTCAAATGATTAGCATAACAACATAGCAAATATCCAACAGGAAACGTCAACTAATGGTCAACAAAACCTCAACGGTTGTTGTATAGAGTCCACCCGCAAACTTCTCAAGCTCACTTTTCTTTCCCTTGGTGACAGGAACAGCCAAGTATTCTTCGTATATCCTTCTATACAGTTCCAAAATATCAAGAACCTGAAATGGTGGCCCCCATGAACAAATATATCAGAACAAAGATACCCCATATCATCAATTAAGCATTGCACTTCATAAAATTAAGGTTTTTGTATATCAGAAGTAGCATGTTTTATGTTATTGGGTTTGCTTTCTTGATGATACACACCCCAAATGTAAGTCTTTATTTTTGGAAAGGTCCCAAATTGTAAGACATTACCTCTGCATCTGCCTCCTCCTTTGTTGCAAAAGCAGTGTGCCCTTCTTGCCATAGAAACTCACGGCTTCTGAAATTTCAAAGGCTCTAAAATTTTGAGAGAGAGAAAAGGGGGCTAGAAGTAGATCATAGTAAGAAAAAGAAAATTTCTTAACACGCACCTAATGAAAGGAGTAGGATGGCTGAACTCCCAACGCACAACATTGCACCACTGATTGAGTCTCAAAGGTAAATCGCGATGCCCTCTTATCCACTTAGAGAAATAAGGATACATAACTGTTTCACTAGTTGGCCGAATTGCAATAGGGACTTCCAACTCAGACTCTCCTGACTTTGTAACCCAAGCAACCTGCAGAAAGTCCAAAATGAAATAATAGGCATGATTTATTGAGAGTTAGCCTTCTAATGCCATATGCTCTTGCTTGTCTACAACTAATGGAGAGAAAAATGCATATTTTTCAAAAGTACAAGACTTACCTCAGGTGCAAAACCCTCTATGTGGTCCTTTTCTTTTTGCAGAACGCCAGGAGACACAAAAAGTGGGAAGTAGCAGTTCTTGATCTTCATTTTCTTAATTTCAGCATCAAAAAAGGTCTGGATATTTACAAGATTAGATAGTGCACTATGAAACTAAGCTATCAAATTGTTTTTAAGTCATACCAGAGAAACACTTCAGACCAAAAACTTACTTGCATTATCTCCCAGATGGAAATTGCCCATGGCCGCAGAATGTAACAACCAGATATGTCATAATACTCAATCATTTCACTGGTAACAACTACCTATATTATTGGCAAAGAGACAACATGATACAAATTAAGATCTTAGAAGCCCTAGCATAGATAAAGGATAAAATCGAATATATAGTGAAATTGGCTAAAAAACAAACAAAAAAAAAAAAAGCAAACAAACAAACAAACTGGTAGACCAAAATTAATTCAGTGCTTTTTGAAGAAGAATTTTGTGAGTAATCTTTAGAGCAATCCTTTCCAAATGGCACCATAACTCCAAACCAACCACAATCAGATGCTTCAAATTCCACACTCACCTCAGAATACCACTCCCCAAAGTTTTCATCTTTCTTGTAAGTAAGACCAAGACCAGTCTCTTTCTTCACTTCCTTCTTCTTCCCCTCTGAAAGGCAAATAGAAAAGCAACACTAAAAATCATGACCTATATGCCGAGTGAAACAAAGCTTCTTTGGACAAAACAGAATTGTGATCACTCACGAGCACTTGAAGCACTTGCACTTTTTGAATCCTTGCCACTTTTTGAATCCTTGCCAGCCATGTGGGCAACTACGCATAAAACTCCCAAGCAAACCACCTGTAAATTAATAATTAAGCCACAATCCCCATGCCAAAAATTCACAGCAGGTACTCATTACATTCAAAGCATTAGCATAACTAGAAATCACAAAGTCATAACGAATAGGGGCAAGCATCCAGGCTAAACCAAACCAGAGCCGAATCAAGTGTTACAATTCGCCAATTTAGCAAACACGCGAAACCTAAACAGAAACCAAACCCAAAAATTACAGAAAACCTACTCCCAACACACAAATGCATATGAAAAACAGAGGACAAATGGAACTGAATTGAGTATCCTTATTGCCATTTCATTTCACGGGAAACGGAGAAGCGTAACACATAAACATGAACTCAAGTATTTTGACGAGCAGAAAAAAACTCGCAATGTTGACTATTTGAGATGCCAATTACTGTACCAATATATATAGTGAAAAAATTGATAAAATGGAGTGAATGATAATAAATGGCGGAAATGAAGAAGCAGTAAAGGAAGTACAAAGGAAACCTGATGAAGAAGGCGATCGGCGACGGGGGAGAGGAGAAGATTCGGCGTAGCTTTTCTGCGAGGCTGCTGAAGTGCTAACGAGACTGCGATAATGGTATCTTTTGCGAAATATTCACCCCTCAACGACGTCGTTCCTTCCTGTATGTTTAGGTTATAGATAGAGTTAATTACCGAAATGGTCCCTGACTATAGTGAAATTACCAATTTGGTCATTGACTATTTTTTTTAACCAATTAAGTTCCTCAACTTTAAAAATCTTAACCAATTTGGTCATCCGTTTGTTTGACCGTTAGTCAACCGTTAACTTTGAATTAAATTGGTAATTTTGCTATAGTCAAGGGACCATTTTGATAATTATCTTTAGGAGTGGGCAATTCATTTTAGTTTTCTCGAACTGAACCGTATCAATTCATTTTAGTTTCCTATTATACCTAGATTTACATTACTTTTTCATATTGTATTTTTATTTATAATTATAAAATTAATTACCATATATAAAAATAGTCTATTAAAAGGCAGAATAAATTTTCTGCCTTTTAATATACTATTTTTATATATGATAATTAATTTCATAATTATAAATAAAAATACAATATGAAAAAGTAATGTAAATCTTTAATGTAAAAAATACACAGAATTTCTCCACAAGAAATAACTTAAAAATAGAAAAAAAAATTTACCACTGCATAATTGTAACAACAACGGAATTGAATAGTTGCATGCCCTTTGCCCAATTGAAACAAATCTCTCGAGATATGTTGTTGTAGCAAAGAACGCACTCCAGTCCAATTTCATCGCAATGTTGCCCAGGATCCACCCCATGAAGTCGCCACCTTCCCGGTTATAGATAGGAATCAGGCGCTCCCAGACCTCCATAGCCTTCCAGCATTTCCTTACAATATGATCAGTATCTTCATCAACAGGGAGAACTTTGAGGATGCGTTGATGTCAGAAGGGCAGTGTATTCTGCCCTTCAATGGGCTTGGGATAGGAAGGTCATAAAACTTTGAATCCGTACTGATGCAAAAAAGGTTGTGGATTGGATTAATGGGGATTTGAGTTACTTGGCCCCATTAATGGAATCGTATATGCCTGCAAGGAGTGTATCAACAGGGATTGAGAGGTTAGGATTATGAATCTAAAGAAAGAAATCAGAAGATTTTCACTTACTCTAGAGCTTTGTCCATAGGAGTTGTGATCGAAAACATAGGAAACAACTTTACCGAGTTCAAAAGTTGTGAAGAAGCAATATCTCATGGTCTAATCTTATATGAGAGAAGTTGAGGTTAATATATTGTTAGTTAATAAATTTTATGAAAATATATATGGTTAGTTAATAATTATGAGTTTGGTTTTACAAAAATGCCCCTAAGTTTTGGTGGGGGAAATTTTTGTGCCAACCATTTTGCTTTAATATATTAGAGATAGAGATTCGACTAATCAAAATGGTATAAACTCTTAAAATATACACATATCCGTCCATTACACGTATTAACAAAATAACAAAAAAAAAAAAAAAATTTAGATGATGAAGGAAACATACTACCACTACTTGAGGATGTGATTTGTGAGCTATTACACGATAATATAATTTACTCAGTGCATATCCTCAAATATATGTTCTATATTTTCTCAATCTTTTTCCGCCCAAAGAATCAATAGCCTCACCAGGGTTCGATCCTGTGACCACCGTATTTACTTAGTACATATCCTCAATACATGTTCTATACTTTCTCAATCTTTTTTCGCCCAAAGAATCAATGACCTCACCGAGGTACGATCCTGTGACCACCGTACTCATTTGGAATGGTAACAAATGTGTCATCACACTACATAATAGTTGGTTGTTAGATATAAATATAATATAACATGAATTGAATAAAAACTTTATTAATTATGAGAAACATAATCTTGTAGCATCAGAAGCAATATTAGATATCAAAATACCTCCAATCATAATTGGCATCTTATTACTTATGTAGCTTCTCGAACGGTAAAACTACATGGAAAATGTTAGCCGTTTTCTCACACTTAACTCATAACTTTATATGGTATATTTGAGATTATTCTAAGCAGTGTAAATGCCATAAATATTATGTACTATATACTGTACATCATGTATCCCATCAATATAGGCATAATGTTTGATAAACCAATAACTTATGTTCAACTAAATTTATTAATAAGCATAATTAACTCGCAAAACATACACTACTGAAAATTCTGAAATTTCCGACCACCTGAAAGTGATCTTAAATCAAGTCGAAAGCAAAAAGTGGTCATAAATAGCAACAAAGATTTTTTCGGATACCAAAGTGGTCGGAACAAGACTTTCGACTTGATTTAAGATTACTTTCAGGTAGTCGGAAATTCCATAATTTCCAACAGTGATAATACAAGTATTAATATATATAATATATTATAAGGGAATAAGGGAATAATCCTTTATATAATAAAGCTATATGGTTTGGGAAATAATTAATGTTACAATTAATGCCACAACATCCTTTATTATTAAAAAAAAAAAAAGCACAACATTTAAAAAATAAAATAGCTATATATTATATAATCATATAAAAAATATACTTTTGAAAAATAAAATAGCTATATATTATATAATCATATAAAAAATGTGTTCAATTAGATTTTAAATTTACACATACAAAATTTGAAATTTGCTTTCCAAATGTAATTATCTTAGTTATTATTCGTATTGTGAAAATTATAATATAGATGGAATACAATTAAGAATAAATCAATGTAATTATGTAAATTCTATCTATAAATTTATTTGAATATGGACATAATTAGAGATTATATTAACCATACAAAATTATAATTTTAATATTAATTTTAATTTTAATTGTAATTTTGTATTCTATAAAAATAATAAATATTTGGCCAATGGAAGCTCAAAAATATTATTATATTAAATAATTTAAAATATTTTAATTTTTCTATTTTTTATTTATATTTATAATAACATAATTTGTTTCCTGTGCATCGCGCGGGTGAGTTACTAGTATCTTACAAAAGCACAAGTTTTTACTGTCCAAAAATCTGTGACATTTAGACATTTCCAAAAAAAAACAATATATGAAATACAAGTATTAATCCTACAATATATGAAATACAAGTATTAATCCTACTATATAATAAAGCCATAAGATCTTGGCCAATCAAATTCTTGCAAATTCCCGCCCAGTGAAAACGCTGCCGTTTGGTTTATGGTTAATTTGTATCCTAATTTTTCGGATTTATTTTATAATAAATAATAAATACTAACTGCAACAAATAATTGTGTTTGTATTGGAATTGAAAACTAAAGCTATATTTAGAACCTCTTTTGGAGTCCCAATTAACTTGGAATCTGTTCAGCCGTCGATGAGTTAAATGCTACTACAAAGCATATGGTTATACGTAAAGATCTTCATCGAATACATACAGATTAGAGATATATTACATATATAAGCTACGTTTATACATATACTACTATATATAAATACATAAATATATATATCAATTCAAATTTTATGCAGCTTTCCATATGTGTCGTTTCTTCTTCCCAGATACCATCATAATGCATCTGCAAACATGCGTAAAGTTGGGTAGATTTTAGCCTTCAAAACTTGGCTCTATAAATAATTGGTACGACATCTTCATTCTCTACCACCATTCTCACTTTGAAGCTACGTTTGATCCAATTTTCTTTCAAATTTTTTGATTTTGAAAATCTGCAAATGGCTCCACTCTACATTCAAGGTAAAGACCTGGGGATATCTACATACAAAAAGGCAATAAGATTAAGACTGGTTCGTACCTATAATGTACCAGAAGGGAGAAATTCAGAAGCAATCAAAAGTCAAGAATGTTTGTTTCATGACAGTGAGGTAAGCTATTTTTTTCCAGTACAACTGAAAATCAAAATAAAAAATATTGTTACTAACATTTTTTTCTGTCTTTTTAGGGCACATATGTTCATGGGAATATTTCAAAAGATTGTGTCGAACAGTTTTCTAAACTGTTGAAAGAAGGCAAGGTTTATGCTATAAAGGATTTTGCAGTAATCTCACACTACTATCAGTACAAAACCACTGATCACACATACATGATTAGATTCACTCATGAAACTCATGTAGAGAGACATAGGCGAAAGGGTTTTCCCAACCTCATGTTTCGGATTAAGTCTTTTTCAGACTTAATGTCTGGTAGTGTGTCTGACAAGCATTTGATTGGTATGATTTATATGTTTTCTATTATTTATTTTTTTCTATCTTATTTTTACTAAGTTTTATTTTTCTAATTTATTCGTTTTTAATGGCCTTATTTTCATTATAGATGTCATTGGAATAGTTGTGGAGTTCTACAGTCCAAAACAAATCACCATAGCTGGATTTCCTTCCAAACTTCTCGATTTTCTTATTGAAGATGGCCAGTAAGTTTCCTTTCTATTAAAATTTTATCTATTTAGGTTAAACCTACTTATTCAGTTAAAAGGAAAGTAGTGAATCCTTAATGTCCTATTTAAACATACTGAAATTCTAATAATCCTAATAATATTCCAATAGTTACAGTACTGCTTTTCTGTTATATATAGTAGTATTTAACCTGCTCTATTTTAATTTAATAGGCTTTAAGTAAAACATTAATAAATACTGAAAAAAAATAGACATAGAGTATAAAACTTATCTTTAACTTTAATGTTTCAATCTTCTGTTCTTCATGATAAGCCATCTTTGAATTTTAGGCTTAGTTCCAGTGCTCTTTTAGATTTTCTCCACGGTAGTAATCAAGTAAAAAAAAAATAGGATTTAAGTAAACCATTAATAAATACTGAAAAAATAAAAATACTAGACATAGAGTATAAAACTTAGCTTGAACTTCTATGCTCCAATCTTCTGTTCTTGATTACAAGCCCATCTTTGAATGTTTGGCTTAGTTACAGTGCTCTTTTAGCTTTGCTTCACTGTATTAATCAAGTAAAACACATAGGATTTAATTAAAACATTCATAAATACTGAAAAAAAAACAAATAATAGACTTTAGTATATAAAAAACTTATATGATTTTGTAATTTTTCAGACTGAAAATATGTTGTTGATCATCCAATCTGCTGTTTTCCATTTTATCAATTGCACCTTTGAATTTTATTGGGCCAACTGTGATTGCTGTACAAAAACAATTAGTAATCATACTTCACTTTATTATCAAAGTAAAAAAAAAATAGGAATAAAATACAACTTAGCTTCACTGTATTTTTCATTATTCAACTCAAACACATATTCTATTAAATGCAGAAAAAAAAACAAATAATACACATAAGAGTAAGATTTTCTGATTTTCAGTAATAATTGTATCTGATTACAGCATAATTTATCTCAATTTTAGGGGATGTCGTATTAAGTGCACAGTGTGAAATCACCATGTGGATACTGTCATGGATTATTTCAAGAACCATATTGAAGGTCCTTTGATTATTTTGCTCCAACTTTGTCGAGCAAAACAATTGGACAGTAAGTGCAGTATATATATATTTTTTTATATATATATACTTTGATTCTTTTTGCTGTTTTTAAGCTAGCCTTTTCCTATTTTGTAGATGAAGTCAGAATTTCAAGTTCCTATAATGCTACACAACTATGGTTCAATCATGATTGCAAGGAATTTAAGGAGTTCAAAGATAGGTATTGCAACTTCATTTCTTTCACTAATCACCTATCTTAAATAAATTCTTACTAAATTGTAATGCTTTACTTTTATTCAGTTTGAAGGTTGCTCACAGCCCACCAAGAAGCATACACAGTTTGTCTGCAATGTCTTATGTCAATAGTGCAGAAAATTCTAAGTCTCCAATGATAGTTACCACTATCAAGGATCTTTATGAAAGAGCAGAGGTACTATTTTACCTAATTTAAGATCTAATTTTTAGTTTTAATCAAAACTTAAACATTAACTAGAATTTTTAATCTAACAGGAAGGATACTATTGGGTACCTGCAAGGATTGTGCCCGTTGAGAGTACTAGGAATTGGTATTACCATTCCTATAGAGCTGATGGCTGCTTTAAGAAGCTTCACATGAAGGATGGAAGTCTTCTATGTCCAACATGTCGTGCAAAGTGGCAAGAGGGTACCTTAAGATACAAGCTGGTTGTTAGGGTAGGTGATAAGACAACTGATGCTCCATTCCTCTTATGGGACAAGGAGGCTGTGAAATAGTTGGGAAGACTGCCTTTGATCTCCGGACCAAATACTCAATGGTAAATAAATTTGCAATCAAATTAAAATTTATATATATATATATATATATATATATATATATATATATATATATATATATATATATATATATATATATATATATATATATATTTGCTACTTAACTCTTGCTTATTTAAAAACATTTTTTTCAGGATGGCTCTCCACTACCAACTGGTATGGAAGAGGTTCATAACAAAGCAATGGTGTTTAAGGTTTCTTCTAAAGCCGATCATTTCAAGAACCGAGCCATGGCTATACCAGTTGTCGGGATAACCTATGATGCAGAATTAGTTCACCATTACTGTCCATCTTTGAGTGATGATCAGGACCACCTATCCATCATGCTTGATGAAGATGACCAAGATGGACAGTCTGAAGTAAGTACTAAACTAATGGTCTTACATTTAACCAAAACAACAATTACTTAAGTATACTTATTTCTTAAACAGGAATCTGAATCTGGAGATGAGGCCAGTAGCCCAAATGTGACTCAAACTAAGAAGCAAAAGACTGCTGAAAATAATCAAGCACTAGAAGGAGCAGAAACTAAAAGAAATCTGATCGATCAATTCTCCTCAAGTAAAGATGTTATGAAATCAAAGCATGTTGTCGTCAAACTGGAGAAGAATCTATAGGGAAAGACCTTAATTGCTAAGTCTCTGTTTTAAGGGTTTAATGCTGGACAATTTGCACTGTATAGTGCTTTAGTTGTTTTAATTTTATGTATTTTCTAAACCCTTTTTGATAATATGTACTGTGAAGTACATATTATATGTTTTGGATCATTTTGGAACTTAATCATTTGCTTTAAATCTTATGCTTTAAAAACGGTTTAGGTGGTCTTTGTTATTGTTATTTGTGTATTGCCTAACATTTTGCAGGTAAGAAAACACAGATGTCAAGCAGATGTCATGCAAAAGTACAAGATCAAGCAGTCCACAAATCATCTTTGAGTTCTTTATTCATCAGATTAGCAGAAGATTTAGCTAGAGTAATTAAATATGCTAGATCCATACAGTAATGTACTTTGTTGACAATTGTATTACATCAACTATCACTTTGTACATTACAGACTAATAGTAGAAATAACATATTATATCTTATAATTATTCAAAGGCATTCAATTGTGAATACTGCTACAAATTAAAAACAGTTAACCACTACATTTCTGTCATTTAAATCTTTACATATTTGGAAACTTAGACACTAATCAAATGTACTCACAATGAAACAATTGCATATATGTATTTGAATACATAATAAATATTAAACTATAAAATACTTTATTACAAGACTTCATATTTTGAAAAAAAAAAAAAACAATAATTCCAACTGAAAAAATAGAAAATAGACCTTTTTTTTAAAAAAGGACAAAGTCTTTATTTTCAAACAGAAGTAATTGTGTTTGGTTTAGAAATCTGTTTCTGCATACTGCATACAAAAATGAAAACAAAGATTTAGTAATCTAATTAAATATTTAGATGTTAATATTAACTAAGCATGTAATCATGTCTTTTTCTATTCAGTTCTTATATCCCTCTTATCATTGAGACATCTGAAATCTAATTAATTTTGTTTTTCTAAGAATCTGAATTTTAGATTACAATTTTGTTGTATTCCCTTCGTGATTAGGCAGTGGTGTTCAATGTTTTGGTAAAGATGGAACATTTAACAAACCCGGCTAAACCAATTGCACTCTTGAAGGTAGTTAATGATGACCATGATCAGTTTTCCCCTATTGTTACTCATCCAATGAGCAATATCAGTTTGCAAAGAATTTTGAAGAAGAAGAGAAAGATAACGAAACTGAAGTATGTTATTTAAGATTAAATTGATTATCTTTGACTTTCAATGTTTTAAAAGTCAACAATTTTATTGGCTAATGGCTTATTTTTCAGCATAGGATACTGAATCTGTTTAAGATTCCAGCAGTCCATGTGTGGCACCATATCTAAAGGTTACAACTGGTGAGACACCTCAACAAATTGAACCCGGTTCTATAACGTGATGTTTGTTTGATCAATTATCATCCAGTACTATGTTGAAGAAGGCTAAGGCTGTGATAGTTAAACAATAAAAGAAATGACCATTTCTTTTAATTTTTTTGTAATGTTATTCACTTTACCATTACAAATCTCTCTTTTACATCTTTACACATCAATAAAAACATTTTTTTTTTTGGATCACTGCAGTATACTCACTCTTTATTTCGATCTTTTTCCTGTCTTTTAAAGCTAGCTAATTTGAAACATTTGCTGTTAATATATCATTGTGTACTCACCCCTGAGATGCTTACAAAAATTAGAAACTAGGATATTTTGCTCTTAAAGAAACGATTAAAGAAAATAATAAAACACAATGTTCAATCTGAAGTAATTTCAAATTCATTCACATATGTTTGAAAATATATCATATTACATTTGAAAATGGAAATTTGGAGTAAACGACAATCGGAGAGTATTGCAAAAACAGGTACAATCATGACTTCCCTGGTCTTCTTCAATCTTTCTTTCATGTCTTCTGATTCAGTTCTCATTCTCAATCATTAATATTCAACTAAAACATCTATAACATCTTAAGTAATTTCATAAGTGGCATCAGAAAGTAATATCATCATTTGCCATTTTCTCAAAAAATTCTGTTAGAATTTAACTACAATTAAAAAAAAATTAATTCTGAATAAAATAGTTAATTTGCGGTACAAGCAAAATTAAAACAAATAAAACAAATTACAGTGATGTAGTCAATTAGATGGCAGTTGTAATCAAATCTGAATTCCACAAAATACACATCTACAAATGTAAAAGTGATTGACTATGACTGTTATACTTCCCAATTACAGTAATCATTAGTTTTAACCAAATTCCAATGCTTTGGAATTATACTTTTAAATTAAACAATCTCAGATTCAAATTTGTAAACACTGGACAAAATTGATATTCACCTAAAATCACAATTTACACAAAAACACTGTCCAAACATACTCAGTCTAAGTCAATGCGGAAGTTAACTTCATCAATAGTCATCGGCGCAAAAAGGAAGAACACACTAGCTAACAAAGGTACTTTAAATAAAATGTCAAACCTGTATTACTGCGATAGTCTTATTTGTATTAGATCATTACTTTTGGTGGGAGATTTAGAATCTGCATGCTACTCCATCTTGCTTATATAATTAGATCTATAACTACAACCTGTTTAATCACAATTAGATAACAGATTTTTTAGTTAAATGGTAAAATTAGTATAAGCATACGAATAATTGAAAATATAAAAATGATTTTGAAATCTTGCAGTGAAGAAACGTTGTTACAGTAGTTGATTAAAATCTAAGTAGTATCATAATGTTTATGCAAATGAATTCATGCATATTTATATTGACATAGAAAAAAAATATAGTAAGAACAAAATTAAAACTGAAAAATGTACTTATCTTTGGAAATCCTGTTTTTTTCTTCTCTTTTCCATGTGAGATAGGCGTGGTTTCTGACAGAATTAAACCCAGTTTAGGCTGAGATTTCCATAAACATAAGAACTCCTTCGCCGGAATTTGTACCGCCTGAGGGTTTCGATTTTGGGTTTTTTTCATATGTTTTCTGGGTTTCGAAGTAGAACCTTGAAGTATTGAACAAAACTGTTCAGGATATCAGAACTCATTTGACGAAAAATCTCTCAGTTTAGGGTTTTGATTTGGGCGATAAAACTTCGACGAGGATACGTTTTCGTGTATAGAAGTTTGAAAAGGGGGAAGTAGTGAACTGAAGGTCCCTCATGGCTTCGATTTCCTGAACCGTTCATACGTCGCGATTAGGAAATCGAACTTGAATCGCGAAGAAGACGGATGGAGGATCGGAGACCACAGAGCGAGGAGGAGAGTGGATGAGGGAGAGAAAGTTTAGGGTGTCTATCGGCTTGGGTGAGTTTAGATGGGTGGGCCGTATGTAGTTTTGGGGTGGGTAGAGGGTTAGGTGAATGGGTTTCTGAATGGATTGTAGTTTAATTGTTTTAAGATTATTATTATTATTATTATTACTAGTAATTCACCCGCGCGCGATGCACGGGAAAAAATTATGTCATTATAAATATAAATAAAAAATAGAAAAAATAAAAATATTTTAAATTGTTTAATATAATAATATAAAACAAAAGAGAAGGATCATGGAAAGTGGTAGAAAAAATAGAACCAGACATTAAGGAACCACCGTCTACAGGTAGAGATTGTGGAGTGTACTTGTCTATCTTCTCAAATGCTTCAAAGAAATGGCAGAAGCGAAAAGGGATGAAGAAAACAAATGATGCGGGCTGTGGGTCAATTATTGAACTTCAGAATTTAAAAAAAAAAATCATTTGAGCCATAAATAAAAATTTAAATATATAAATGTACATATCGTATGAGTCTTTAATGTTTTTCTGGATTTCTAAACTTATGACTTTTAAAAGAAAAAAAAATCCATTTGAATTATCTCCACAAAAAGTGCAATCGTTATGCCATGGAACCGTGTTCACCATTCATGGTGAACACGGTCCCAACGGTGTTAGTGCACTGTTATCTTCTTTTTTTTTTTTTTTCTCCTTAATTAATCGCGTGACTTTTCTTCTTCATTTTCACATTTCGCGGTTTCACTTTAATTTGAGGTGAGCAATGATTTCAGACATTCATAAATTATGAATCCATGCCTGCACATTCACTTTGGAATCATGCCTACACATTCCCGTCCGAAACCATGGTTGCTCCTCTGTAGCGCAAGCTTCTTCAACATTCATAAATTATGAATTTTCTATTATGAGATTATGAATTTTCTGTTATGAGATTATGAATTTTCTGTTTTGAGATTATGAATTTTCTGTTTTGAGATTATGAATTTACAGTAAATTCATAATCTCATAACAGAAAATTCATAATTTAATAAATATTTTTCTTTTATGCGATTATGAATTTTCTGTTATGAGATTATGAATTTACAGTACATTCATAATCTCATAACAGAAAATTCATAATCTGACCAAACGTGCGCCGTTAACACCACATTCGCGATTTTTTTTTTTTTTTACGTAAAAACGGTGCCGTTTGGACCCGTGTTCACCATTCATGGTGAACACGTTTCCAGGGCATAATTTGCGCAAAAAGTGGTCTTGGGCTTATAGAATGACATGTGAGTTTATGGAATGACATGTGCATAAAGAATATATTATATAATCATATAAAAAAGTGTTCAATTAGAGTTTAAATTACTCCTACAAAATTTGAAATTTGCTTTCTAAATGTAATTATCTTAGTTATTATTCGTATTGTGAAAATTATAATATAGATGAAATACAATTAAGAATAAATCAATGTAATTATGTAAATACTCTTATAAGTTTATTTGAATATGTACATAATTAGAGATTATATTAACCATACAAAATTTTAATTTTAATTTTAATTGTAATTTTGTGTTCTATAAAAATAATAAATACTTGACCAATGGAAGCTCAAAAATATTATTATATTAAATAATTTAAAATATTCTTATTTTTTCTATTTTTTATTTATATTTATAATAACATAATAATTGTAACATTAATTACTTCTCAAACCATATAGCTTTATTATAGTAAGATTAGGATTAGGATTATTATTATAATTTATTTAGTAGTTATTATTAGTGTTAGTAGGATTTATTATATACTCTGTTAATATTATTTATTATATACTCTGTTAATATTATTTATTAGTGTTAGTATAGATTCTCTTTTTAAATATATGAATGATTTTAAAAAATATAAATTAAAATTATAACTTAGTGAAATTAATAGTATGTAAAATTGAACATGAATTCAAATTCTTATATTAATGTTTAAATTGTTGTATAATTATAGATATGGTTTATATTTTTGTTATATTTGTTTAAAGTAATACATGCATTCATATATTTTAGTTACAATAAGTTGCGTATAAATAATTATATCAATACTTCATTGTTTAATTGGTTACAATTTGTTGAATTATTTTATGACAGAAAATGATTCTGCGGAAAATGTAACATTTAACAAACCCACACAGCCCGTGTTGCCTGGTAAAATGAATTTTCTCTAATTTTTGTGTTTGTGTAATTATTTTCACATATATCAAATTTTATTAACATCGACCAAATTTATATCTTTTTTTATGGTAAGTTGTATTTTTATTATAAGATTCAACTTATGTGTTCTTTAAATTATTACAATCTTTTTGTAGACTATTCAATCTCAGTACAGTCTACAAGCTTTAGATCTCAGCTTACATGCATTAATTCAGAAACTCAAAATAAGAAGCGTGTAATTCAAGGACATCGTAATGGGCTTCCAACGCAAAATTTCAACTCGAGCAATGGTATGAGCAATTATAATTATAAAAGGATATAATTTTTTTTTGTACTTTTTTTACTTTTTATTTTTGATTGAGTTTCCGGTAGTAATACTTACCAACAATCATGTCTTTTCAAGTCAAAGTGATACACTTTTAAAATGCATTCATGGTCTTGGTTAACTAAATCTATAGTATATTAAATATTTTATATTCTACCTCTCTACTATAAGTTATTCTAATAGCTTGGTTGTTTTTATTTTTCATAATAGTTTGTCAAAATTATATTGAATCAAGTACATCGCGATCAACCGTTTTGGAAGTTACACGGATGGAAGACAAAGAAATTCGAAGGCCTTTAGCAAATTTGTCAAATGGTAAATTCTATCAAACAATTTAATTCTTTATTAAAATTGAAATAAAATCTGTTACATTTTGATAGTTCAATATTCGAATTTACTTGGATCTTTTAGTTAATACACCACAGTCGTGCGTTGTGGATCAAAGCAGGTTGTCGCCAAATATGGAAATGCAACGTGGATTGATGGCAGATTTTGATAACGTGGTCCATGATACTACCTCAAAGCTGACAATTCGTGCTGGAGGGTAATAGACTATTAATTAGATAAAATATTTGAGTTTCATACTAACACTTACTTTGGGTCTATAGATTATTACGGTGATATTGGTGATCAAATGTATTCATGTCAGCACTGTGGAGCTATGTTTTGGTTAGAGGAGCGTGTTAATAAATCTTCCGGTGTTCGGAATCCAAAATATTCACTATGTTGCAGTCATGGAAAGATCAAGTTGGCACCTACAAATAGTCCACCTACTGCCATAGGGCAGTTGTTCTTTAACCAAGATCAAAAGAGTTCACATTTCTTGAAAAATATTCGGTCCTTTAACAATATGTTTTGCTTTACTTCCATGGGTGGAAAAATTGATAGAGCAATTAACAATGGTAGTGCACCACCAGTCTTTAGACTACATGGTCAAAATTTTCACTTGATGGGTAGTTTGCTACCAGGAGCTGGCGATCGTCCAAAGTTTGCTCAATTGTATATTCATGATACTGAGAATGAGATAAACAATCGTCTAAGTGCACTTGGGTAAGTTACGGTCAGACATACATTACTTTAAATGATCATGAGCATGTATTAGCATCAATTTAACTAAATTTATTCCTTTTGTTTATTATAAACAGGGAAGATGATTCTACGACTACATTGCATTATGAAATTGTTAAAGACATTAAGGATGCATTAGATGAGAATAATGTTTTGGTCAAGAGTTTTCGCATGGCAAAGATGGAGATGGAAAGTAATCCTAGAAGAGATATTAAAATAAAACTCATCGGAAGGAGGAACAAAGATGCAAGGACATATAACTTGCCACAGGTTGGAGAAGTGGCTGCTCTGATTGTTGGTGATTTAGATCCAGACATGGGGGAACGAGATATATTGGTGGAATCTAAAGCTGGTCATTTTCAAAGAATAACTGAATTACATCCATCCTATCTACCATTGCAATACCCATTACTCTTTCCTTATGGTGAAGACGGTTACAGAGAAGACATACAGTTTAACAATGTTGCAGGTCAGAGTTCGAATGCAAGAAGTAAACTTAGTCCCAGGGAGTATTTTTCATTCCGTTTGCAAGATAGGTTCAATGAAATGTCAACATTGCTTTATTCTAGAAGGTTGTTTCAGCAATATTTGGTAGATGCTTATACCATGATAGAATCAGGACGCTTGGTTTATATTAGGACTCATCAAAAGTCACTGCGATGTGAATCATATAAATGTTTGACAGATGCGTTAACACGTGGTGAAGTAGATCCTACAGCCCAAGGAAAGCGTATCATTTTGCCATCGAGTTTTACCGGAGGAGCAAGATATATGTTGCAAAATTATCAAGATGCAATGGCAATTTGTAGATGGATTGGTTATCCAAGTCTATTTATTACATTCACATGTAATCCCAAGTGGCCTGAGATTGAAAGGTTTTTACAACCAAGGAAACTCAAATCTGAAGATAGACTGGATATTATTTGCCGTGTGTTTAAAATGAAATTAAATGCACTGATAAAAGAGATCCAGAAAGAGAACATCTTTGGAGTTGTTGATGCAGGTACTTTGTTTTATTTAATTAATAATTTTTGTTTGTTAACAATAATAAGCACATTTTAATTATAATTTTACTTTGTTTCAACTGCAGTAATTTACACAATTGAATTTCAAAAAAGGGGATTGTCACATGCTCACATTTTGATATTCTTGGCCAAGAGTAACTCTTATCCTACTGCAAAAGACATTGATATGATAATATCTGCTGAGATTCCAAGTGAATTGTGCGATCCAGAATATTACAAAGCTGTGGAAGAATTTATGATTCATGGTCCATGTGGTGCAGCGAGGAAGAATTCACCTTGCATGGTAAATGGTAAGTGCTCTAAATTCTACCCGAAAAAATTTGTTGAAAGCTCTACAGTGGATTTTGATGGATATCCAATATATCGCCGTAGAGATAATGGTCGTACAATAAGGAAAAATGGAATTGCCCTTGATAGTAGATATGTAGTTCCACACAATAGACATTTGCTGATTAAGTACAAGGCTCATATTAATGTGGAGTGGTGCAACCAATCTAGATCAATAAAGTACTTATTCAAGTACGTGAACAAGGGTAATGACAGGGTCACAGCTGAATTTTACAATAGTGCGGTTGAAGAATCTACTGGAAAGGTTATAGATGAAATCAAGATGTACTATGACTGTAGATATATTTCGCCGTGTGAGGCCGCTTGGAGGATATTTGCATTTGACATACAATTTAGGAATCCATCTGTTGAGCGTTTGAGTTTCCATCTTCCAAATGAGCATTCAGTAATATTTCAGGATGATGATTTGGTGGATGATGTTGTAAATCGACCAACAGTAGCACAAAGCATGTTCACTGCATGGTTATAGGCGAATAAAAATTACGCAGAGGCGCGGCAGTTGACTTATTCACAGATGCCTACTAAATTTGTTTGGAAGAAAGATAAAAGAGAATGACATCCAAGGCAGAGGAATTGGGCAATTGGTCGAATCTTTTATGTGCCCCCAAATAGTGGTGAAATCTTTTATTTGAGATGTTTACTTAACATTGTTCGAGGACCAACGTCATTTGATGATATTAAAAAAGTGGATGGCGTACAATATAATTCATTTAGAGATGCATGTTATGCACGTGGTTTAATTGAAGATGATAAAGAGTATGTCGATGCAATCAGTGAAGCAGCAGTTTGGTCTTCGGCACATTCCTTAAGAAAATTGTTTGTTACACTATTGACATCCAATGCAATGTCAAAGCCAGAAGATGTGTGGGAGTTGGTCTGACATTACTTATCAGATGATGCTGAATTTATGTGTAGAAGAAACCTCTCAACTTCAGGTAATTAATAATTAATTATATAAACATATGTACGTATCCATTTTTTATATATAATATCTTACAATGTTTTTTTTTAGATCTAATTCTCAATGATTCTCAAAAAAAGAATTATGCATTGATTGAAATGGAGAAGTTGTTGAATGCTTGGAACAAATCTCTAGCAGATTATCCACTGATGCCAATGCCAGATCAAAACGGTGATTTGTTTCAGGGAAATAGGTTGTTGTTCGAGGAAATGTCATATGATAGGGAAGCTCTAAGGCATGAACATAATTCTTTGCTTCAGAAACTAACTAATGAACAGTTACTCATCTATAATAAGGTGGTTGCAGACGTCCAGACTGAGATGAGTGGCATGTATTTCGTTTATGGTTATGGTGGTACAGGCAAAACTTTTTTGTGGAAGACACTTTCAGCGGCTCTAAGGTCCAAAGGTGAAGTCGTATTAAATGTTGCGTCAAGCGGTATAGCTTCATTACTTCTACCTGGTGGAAGGACTGCACACTCTAGATTTGCTATACCAATTTCTGTTAATGAAGATTCCACTTGCAACATTAAGCAGGGAAGTCCACTGGCTGAATTGATCATCAAAGCCAAACTGATAATTTGGGATGAAGCTCCGATGATGCACAAACATTGTTTTGAAGCATTAGACAGGACAATGAGAGATTTAATGCGTTTCACAAATCCTAGGAGCTCAACGATGACCTTTGGAGGTAAAACAGTTGTTTTGGGGGGAGACTTTAGACAAATTCTTCCAATTATTCCAAAAGGTACTAGACAAGATATAGTACAAGCCAGTATTAATTCTTCTTACTTGTGGAATAATTGTGAAGTTCTTCGTTTAACGAAGAATTTAAGATTGCGAAGTATTAGTAATGAAGAGGAGGTTGAGAAGTTAGATTGTTTTGCCAAGTGGATTGCAGATGTAGGTGATGGAAATCTTGGGGAAGACAATGGTGTTGATTGCAATATATTGATTCCTTCATCCTTTGTATTGGAAAATGAGGGCGATCCCATTAGACAAATTGTTAACAGCACATTTCCTGATTACCGTTCTGAAAACATGGATGCAAGACAACTCGAGAGTAAAGCTATTCTGGCTCCAACATTAGATGTTGTAGACGAAGTGAATGAATACATGAACGGTATGAATCAAGCCTCATCAATAACATATTTGAGTTGTGATTCTCTTTGCAAGTCAGAGACAAATGTTGATATGCAATCTGAGGTACACACAACAGAATTTTTAAATAGTTTGAGATGCTCCCCAACCATTGTTTAACTTTGAAAGTTGGTACTCCAATTATGCTGCTGAGAAATATAGATCACTCACTGGGACTTTGCAATGGTACAAGGTTGGTAGTCACACAACTGGGAAATCATGTTATTGAGGCACAAATCCTATGTGGCAACAACGCAGGTACAAATGTGTTGATACCAAGGCTATCTTTGACTCCTTCAGACCCAAGACTTCCATTTAAGTTTCAAAGAAAGCAGTTTCCAGTTATGTTGTCATATGCAATGACAATCAACAAAAGTCAAGGTCAAACGCTTTCACATGTTGATTTGTTACTCAAAAAACCAGTTTTTAACCATGGCCAGTTATATGTAGCAGTTTCTAGGGTGAGTAATCCTGACGGTCTTAAGGTCTTAATTTGTGGAGAATCTAGAGGTCTTTTAAACAAAACTCAAAATGTAGTTGACAAAGAAATCTTTAATAATGTGTAATTCTTTTATGTTTATGGAACGCCAATATAATATATTTTGTCTTTTTATTATGTGTAAAACTTTATTCGTACTATATATATATATATATATATATATATATATATATATATATATATATATATATATATATATACAATATACCAAGCTTTTATATATTACATCATAATATCATGGCCGTGCATCGCACGGGTGCAATACTAGTATATATAATATATTATAAGGGAATAAGGGAATAATATCTTTCAAAAGCACAAGTTTTTATTGTCCAAAAATCTGTGACATCTAGACATTTCCAAAAAAAAAAAAAAAACAATATATGAAATTGTTGAGTTTTAGGTAAATCAACCAATTAAACTACCATATATATGTGTCTGGAAAAAGAAAAACTTGCACTTTGACTCTGTCAGTCCAATTGGTCATATTCTGAGAGGCAGATTGATCCTGCAGTAAGATATTAGATATGTAGTTTCAGTAATCTGTGAAATATTCGGAATAAAGTTTGACTAAAATGAGAGATTGAATAATACTTTATAGACATTCAAAAAAAAAAGAATAATACTTTATAGTATTATTAAATTTTTTGAATTTCTAGACTATATAACCTTTTTTTAAAGTATTAAAACATCATAATAAAGTAGAGAAATAATAATTAACATCATTTTTCTTTATACTCGATCTCCTTTTATCCTTATTTCCCATCTCGGATCAAATACCCCTCCTTCTCTTTTAAAACTTCGTACTTACTTGAGATAGCGTATGAAATTATGCAATTGTGCCAAATAAAAGGTTACATGTTATGCGGTGCTATTTTAGATTATTTATTATAATTAAAAAAATTATGTTCGGAGACATTGGTCTCAAATCAGAGACGTCGTTCTCCAAGACTAACGATTTCCAGATCCATGTAAATAAAGTAGCATCTTTGTCTCCATGATGGATTTGGAGATGAAGATCAATGGAGATGAAGATCAATGGAGACGAAGGTTAGTCTCCATAGATTGATCTTCATCTCTAGATCCATGGAGATCGACGAAGAAGCATCTTCATCTTCAAGGAGGATGAAGATCAATAAAGATGAAGGCCAGTCTCCATTAATCTTCAATTCATCTCTAGATCCATGGAGACGAAGATGCTTCTTTGTCTCCATGGATCTGGAGATCGTTTGTCTCTGAACAGAGAACGATGTCTTCGGTCGGAGATTGGTGTCTCCGAATAATTTTTTTAAAATTTTAATAATAAAATAATCTAAATTAGCGTCACATAAGCAAGTTAACCGGTGGCTAAGCAAGGTAACCTATATATAATTTGTCATAATTGCATGATTTTAAATTGTTTGATGATTTAATTATAATTTTTTTGTTAGTTTAATAGTCCAATTACATTTTTATATATTTTTTAGTAATATTGACTCTATTACAATGTAGTTGTGCATAACTACTTTTCTTAACTTACTGAAGTACAAAGAGTCAATACCGTCTCCATGACTTCCCATATGTGAGAACCACTTCATGTCGTTACACCACAAAGTTATTGACAATTATATTTTTATATTTCGTTCAATAGACTATTTAAATATTATTATTTTTATATATTATACGCTCAACATCATTTGCTACGTTACTACTCACTTTGATTGGGAAGCATGCATGGCACCAATTAATAACCAAGGGAATTGTAAACCTATCACCTATGTCTAACGAAAAAGAGAAATTGAAATTGTTGATTACGACTAGAAGACTAATCGTATGTGAGAAAAACATCATGTAGAAATTGAAATTGTTGATTACGTTGTTGTACTGTCCCCTTACATGATGTTTTTCTCACTCCAATTATCTTGGTGGAATGGTGGTAGTGAGAGAGGTTTGTAAAAGTAAAAAAGCATGACTTTTCTAGAAGCACAAGCATATAGAAATTATTAACACAATCTAGAAGCAACTCAACTTATTATTATTATGAATTATGATGAAAGTGAAGGAAAAATTTGATCAAAATACATACCTATGATTAATTGGTGTTTTCCTCTTACATCAAACATCAAATATGTCATCGTCAAGGATTCTTTGAAGATGAATATGGAAAGACTCTAGAATCTTAACGTCGTATTTATTTTAGATACTGAGGTTGGATAACCCGTCTATCACTTTGTTTTGCTCTCTGAAAGTGTGGGGTAATATTCACTACAAAAAAAATGCCTATATAGTAACAGATATAATCCGTTCATAACTTAGCGACGTATTTTAACTTTGTTGATAAATTGACATTTAGCGATGGATTAGCGAGAAATTTGTGATGGATTTTACGATGGAATATTTTCATCTTTAAATACTAGCTAATTTTAGCAGAAAATTTTGAAATAAAAAAAATAGCGACGAATTTGCGACGAATTTTTTGCGACTTGACTTCAACATTTTAAATAATTTTAATTGCTACCGTTTAGCGACGAATTTGTGAATCCGTAGCTAAATATAGTGATGGATTCTCAAATCTGTCGCTAAATATACAAGAAGAAAATTTCATTTTTATATTTTAGCGATGGAATATTGAATTTGTCGCTATATAGCAACGGATTCACAAATCCGTCGCTAAATATACAAGGCGAGAATTTTGTTTTTATATTTATCGACAACATATTGATTTGTCGCTATTTTTTTAACATTAACCCTAATAATCTAAACGACGTTGTTTTGTGATTACATATATATGTATATAAGTTTTTTTTTTACCTTCTTTGTTATCCTTCAGCAACTTGCGAGACCACCGCAACTTACCATCGTCATCTTCAACCTTCCCATTTCCACCACAGCTACCGACTGCCACCGTCACTTCTTCAACCGCCACCACAGCTATCCATTGCTACTGCAAGTTGCAGCCACGCCCCACCGCCAGTGACAAATTTGGAATTTGTTGCAACAATTTAGCGATGGAGATATTCCGTCACTAAAGTGAATAGCGACGAATTTTTACCTTTCTAGCAACGGAACTTTTTATCGCTATTTCGCTCTTTTTGTAGTGATTAGTTTCCTCAAAGTATCTCATCTCCTTAGGGCATGCCTCCAGGATATTAGCTACATGGTTGCAAGACCCTTTCATTCATTTGATGATAATCACAGTGTTACTTTTAATGTGAAAATGACTGGTAACACACAAATATTCCAGTCTCAAGCAATATGGTAGTGCCTAAGCTTTGAGCATCTAGATCGAATCATTGAAAAGCATTAATGCCTGATGTATCCACTTCTTAGGCACTACCATAGAAGAAGGAGAATGGGGAGTAGGAGGAGGAGAAGAGGGAGAAGGAGGATAAGAAGAAGGAGGAAAAGGAAAATAAGAAGGAGAATGAGGAGAAGAAGAACGAAGAAGGAGAAGGATAAGGAAAAGGCGGAGGAGAAGAAGAATATATATCATTAAAAAAAAACTTTAATCTAGGTATTTTTAATAAAATTTATATTGATATTTTAATTTTAATAAATTTACAGGTTCAAAAAGTCACCATTATAGATTCATTAAGTTACTATTGTATATTTTTATGAATCTACGATATTATTTTACGAACAAGCTAAGGGTCTAAGGGTCCATAATTTAAAATGGAACCTTCCATAATATAATTTGTAAAATTAAGAGTAATAATCAATATGAATATTGATAGCAAATCTTATGGATTACAACTTACAAGTGATATATAATGAGGACTAGCCTTAAACAGAGCTAATTAGATAGAGTAACATGAGGATTAGTTGAGCACGTAAACTGTGTTCGGATGTTTTTTTTTTAAAAGGTCAAATTTTTATGTTAAAAATGTAAAAGTAGATATTTGTTAGAATTATCATGTTTGAACACACATTTTATTCACTTGCTCTAACTCACATGTAGAGTAATGTCATTAACCTGATAATAATGATATGGAGTAGGTTTGATAGACAATTAAGCATGATAATGGCTTGCCCTGCCTCCTACACTTCGGTTCGACAGAGCATTTGGAAGGATATAAATCATGGTAACTCACTTAACCGCAGAGGCTAGACCTTTGCTTGCTGCGCACAAGGCACCCTTCACTTTGAGAAGTTGCTCCCACACTGCCGCTGGTGAGACTTGATCCCTGGTTTCTAGGCTACCTCATATAGGTAGTATCTGTTCTATACTTTCTCTAACTACTGCAGCCCTCAATACCTCACCACCGGAGTTCGATCTTGTGACATTTCCTCTAGGGGAACCACAGAGGTGTCATCTGAGCACAAGATGCTTGGCAATAAAATCATGGTTAGCTGGAAAATATTTGAAGGGAAATGAAATTCAAATTCCATGGAAAACAAATTAACAGGAAAATAGATTACATTGTTTGGTTGGTGAAAAAGAAATTACTGAGAACATAAATTTCATTGTTTGGTTAGGTTTGGAATCGTAAGGAATTATGAATACAAAGACTAATATGCCCTTAACAATAATATATATATATATATATATATATATATGTGTGTGTGTGTGTGTGTGTGTGTGTGTGTGTGTGTGTGTGTGTGTGTGTGTGTGTGTGTGTGTGTGTGTGTGTGTGTGTGATTAATAAACTTTGATGAGGGTAAAATAGTCCAATTGTGTTATACTTCCTTCCCAAATTCTTTGAAAAACAAAATATCAATCCTTTGTAAGGATTTTGTTTTCCTTCAATTTGAGTAGGGGTGACCACGGTTCCGGTTCCGTGGATGGCGAAACCGGAACCGGAACGTAAGGTTCCGGTTCTAGTTCCGGTTCAGAACCGGCGGTTCCGGTTGGAACCACCGGTTCTAACTGGAATTAATTAAAAATAAAATAAAAAACACTATAAAATTTAATTTTTTTCGGTTTGGAACCGGAACCGCCGGTTCCGATTCCAAGATTTTACAAACCTTAACCGGAACCTACGGTTAAGAACCGGAACCGTAACCGTACGGATGGTTCCGATTCGGTTCCGATTTGCACAGTCACGGTTCCGGTTCGAACCGAACCGTGGTCATCTTTAAATTTGAGGAAGTCAAGTTCCAAAGGAAAATATTTTCCATCCAACCAAACAACATAAAACAACATTTTCCTACACTCATAAGAAAATGTTTTCCATCCAACCAAACACTCCCTAGAGTGCAACCAGCGGGCACGTGAGGTGCACGACAATTTATATCGTGCCCTGGTGCAAAATGACTTCGTTTCGATTTTTATTTTTTTTGAAATTTCGCTATGCCGGTTGTTAAGTTTCTTTTAAAAAATTTTCATGTTAAAAAATGTACATAATTGTATACTAAAATGTACACAATTGTATAACAAAATACACATTTTTTTTTTGAAAAGATAATACACATATTCTAACATAATACACATAAACTCTTAACATAATACACATAAACTCTTAACATAATACACATAAATTTCATGTTTCGGATGTACATAATTGTATAAAAAAATATACATAATTGTATAAAAAATGTACATAATTGTATACCATAATGTACATAATTGCATAACTCCCTACATAACTTACCAAAACGACGTTGTTTTGGGAGGCGCGGTGCGCACAGTGCTATGTACATTATGGTATACAATTATGTACATTTCTTTAGAGCATCCACACTAGTGGATAATATGGGGTTAATGTCAGAACAATTATGTTGGGTGGGGTTAATAGCAAATGTGGGGTGGAGTTATTTGAGGAGATATTTGTCCTGCAAATGACAAAATAATGTCAAAAAAAAAAAAAAAAAAAAAAAAAAAAAAAACCAATGATGTGCGCGTTTGCGCACAGCCAAGTGCCACACGGGCGCGTGCACTACACGCGCCCGTGTGGCGGGTTAGGCGCGCTGACAGCGCTGTCAGAGCGCCTGACAAGGCTTTATATTTATTATTTTTTTAAAAAAAAATCAGTTTATTATTATTATTTTTTCTTTTTTCCTCTCCCCTCCCACATTCTCTTTCCTAATCACTCTTACATTATTCCCTCATTCTCCCCAATTGATGTGGATGCTCTTATACGATTGGAGGTGTATAGTGCGCGGTGGTGCAGGGTATAACGATTGGAGGTGCACGCACCCCTATGTACACAAATTTTAATTAAATTGACAACAACAATAAATATCAAAAGATATTTTTGGCAGGAAGAGTCTCCGAGTTGAAGTTTCAACTTTCAACACAGAGATCAGACCGGTGATTTGGTGATCCCGCGTTTCACACCTGTTCCTCATAGACACGTCACCTTGAGCTTCCTATATAAAATTTCTCTGCATTTTCCCTTCACCAAACTCCATACCCATTCTCTTCAACTGCTCTCTCAACTATGGCTTTCTCTCTCTAAAGATTCACAATCAATCAAAGTTCAAAGCTTCCTCAATTTTCTTGCTCTTTTGGTGAGTGTTCAATTCTTCTTGTTATTCTTGTTTTCATTCTTTCTTGTTCTTTTTTAGCTTGATGTTTTGATGAAACCCCATGAAATTAAATGTTTGTTCTTTGCTGTCTGATACTGTGACTGACCCTATGTTGTGTGATGATGGTGTTATGGAATGGAATTGAGGAATTGGATATGAAACTAGCTTGTATTGAGTGGGATCTGAGAAAATCTGTGTGAAGATTGCTTAAATTGTGTTCAAAGAACTCAGTTTCTTTGAAGATCTTATTTGTGAATTTGGGGATAACTCTGCTAAATTTGAGTTTTGATGTGTGTATAGTTGATAGTGGGGTTGTCTGGATTTTAGTGGATTGTAATGAAGTATGATGATAAAATAACTGCTGGTACTTCTGGGGAATTGTGGCTATGAGTTCAAGTGAGAATGATAGAGTTCTAAGGGTTGTTCCCATGGTGTTGACTTCATTATCATTGCCCACATAAGGCGAAATCCGTCCCAAGGGCCCACACCCCAGCCCGACACAATTGTAGAAAAGTAAATCACGGTGACTCAGCTGCTCACACCGAGCCGGGCTATCAGGCTCAGTCATCGGAGCTTGATTGGCTTGACACAATTGTAGAAAAGTAAATCACGGTGACTCAGCTGCTCACACAGAGCCCGAGGGTGAAATTCTTGGTCATCAGAGCTTGATTGGCCCTACACAATTATAGAAAAGTAAATCACGGTGACTCAGCTGCTCACACTGAGCCGAGGGTGAAATTCTCGGCTATCAGGCTCGGTCATCAGAGCTTGATTGGCCTAAATTCATCATCTTCAATTAAGATTTGTATATCATGTTTTTATCAGGGAGAGAGAGAGACTCAGAGAGCATCTTTAATGTGAGAAACAACTAGAACAGTAGATCTTGATGTGGTTACTTACATAAATAGGAACTTTTACATTGTATTAGATGAATTTGTATAGTTTGGGTAAAAAGAAGTTGTTCTGTGTTTAGGGAAGGGATTGAACTATGTGTTATCTGCATAATCTCGTTTGAATTTTCATATCCGCATGTAGGGTTCGGTTTGTATCCATGACAGAAGATTATAGTTTCAATCTGGTTTAAATGTTTAAGCTGTTCTTGTCTAATTTGTTCGTTGTTCTTTCAGGTTAAGGACTGGAAGATTAAACGAGTTAGGTTTATAACGTCTTTATGGCTGTTGAGCAGCACTTTGCACGCGATTGGAAATCGTTCTCTGCTGCAGTGGAAGACCCCGAGAAAATTTCCGCTTGCTTCGACTGCAACATTTGCCTCGACTTTGCCAGCGATCCGGTGGTCACTCTTTGCGGCCATCTCTACTGTTGGCCTTGCATCTACGAGTGGTTTCGCATCCAGAGCGATTCAGAAGAGCCTCTGCAGTGCCCCGTGTGCAAGGCCGAGCTATCAGACACGTCTGTAGTCCCGCTTTACGGCAGTGGCAAGAAACTGCCCGAGTCTCACCCCGAAGGCGGCAACAAGCCTCCCGCTCTAAAGGTGCCCCCGAGGCCGCCCGCCAGTGCACAGGCGTTGGCGAGTCCCAATTCCCAGCCACTTTCGTATCACACAGGCAATGCCTCGTTCAACCTTGGAGCTGTCAATGCTCCCGAGGCCGGGATGCTCGGGGAAATGGTGTACGCTAGGGTGTTCGGGAACTCGGAGAGCCTTTACGCGTACCCTAACTCGTACCAGGCCCGAGGAAACAGCAGCCCGAGGCTGAGGCGACAGGAGATGCAGGTGGATAAGTCACTGAACAGAATTACAACCTTCCTTTTCTTCTGCTTCCTTCTGTGTCTATTGCTGTTTTAGAATCATTTTAGTATTCTGTCAGTCTCTGTATAAAAAATGGTCTCATCCATGTTTGTGAGGATCTTGATGTGTGTAACACCATATATAATACATGATGTGATCTCAAGTTTTTGGCAGCCATTCTTCATCTTCCACTTTGATGGTTTAATTTCTTAATTTTCTTTTGCAACAACTCTAACCTAACACTTGAACACTCATCCATTCTTGATTGAAGTTTGGATAAGTCGGAGTACAGTTTAACTGGTTTAGGACTTTACTAAAACTCGATTAAAAAAATGGTTAGTGAAAATCAGAGATTACTAAAGTTCTAAACAAATTAAACCGGCTGAAATCGGAAAAATTACAGAAGAAAAAAATGAAAAATAAAACTGTCATTATTAAAAATATGAAAAGTCATAAGAAGGACTAAAAGTTCCAAAAATAATAATCTAGGATATTAAATGACAAAAACGATATTTTAAGGCTAAATTCGAGATTGTCACAAAAAACAATTGCTCTCTACTATAGTGGAATTAACTCGAAAATGAGTTTTGTTGACTCAAAGACAAGGGTAATCTTGTCTATTGAGGTTTGGAAGAAAGATAAACAATTCTTGAATAGTTAGCAGACATAACAGTACTGTCTACCTAACATGGATAGGCATTAACTTTTTTATTTATTTTTAAATTATTAAATGGTCTGATGTGAATCATGTGATACATTAGCAGCCAAGGAAGAAACAATATAGTGAAATAAACAGATATATACTAAAAAAGTAATTTCAAATATTAATTATATACGACTTTTTTTTCTTTTTCATTTTATAACTAATAATACGATAGGTACAACAATATAGTACATTTATTGGGTACAATTCTTTAACCCCGCAAATATACAAAAACTCTATACAATTCTCAAAACATTTAATAACTAGTACGTCAATAGGTACTAACGGTAATAACGTTATCGGTAATAATAATATAATAATGCTATAAGAGAGTAACAATAGTTGTATTGCCTTTTGTCTCAGTATAGAAAGTAGAGTGTCTCTCCTGCTCAGCTGAGGAAAGTTCTATTTATGCTAGGTCCTAACGGTAACAATATGAAGACATCCTTGGGGAGCTGAGCTAACGGCAAGAATATGAAGAGTCATGAATGAGGCGTTGAGGCTTTAACTCTTTCTCATCAATGGTGGCATCAAAGGTGGCTTCAATGACAATAAATGTGACACCTGTTGGATTCTAACCGTTGGAGTTCTGCCCGTTGGGTTCCCATGTGATGCTGAGTCAGATGCTCATTTGTGATCCGGGTCGGGTGCCAGCCCTATTATCCTGTCACATGAAGAGTCATGAATGAGGCGTTGAGGCTTTAACTCTTTCTCATCAATGGTGGCATCAAAGGTGGCTTCAATGACAATAAATGTGACACCTGTTGGATTCTAACCGTTGGAGTTCTGCCCGTTGGGTTCCCATGTGATGCTGAGTCAGATGCTCATTTGTGATCCGGGTCGGGTGCCAGCCCTATTATCCTGTCAGGTACAACAATGTTTTATATTTAAATCTATTGTGTATAAATTTATAACCCCACAAAGTAAATATACAATATTTTGAACAATTAAAGTAGGAGAGTTTTTATTTAGGAAAAATGACATATTTATTTAGGAGCTGTGCTATATTCAAAGTATTTGCGCAATCTCTCAATTTATCGACATTCTAGTTATTAATATATTCAATTAAATTTGGATGAAAAATCAATAAGAAATTTGAAATGACAAGTAAATGTTAGATTTTGATTATATATCTAAAAACATAATAAGTGTCAATACAAGTTATATCCTTGATTTTTGTCCCTTTTTTATATGCTAATAAATGTATACATTGTGCTTTAATTGTTGTACATTCATTTACATTTGGACAAAATCACCCTTACACCGTTATAACACTGTTAGTTTTTAATATATCTACCAATCTTACCATACACCTACATCTATCATATCTTTTTCCTATTTTTAATTATCATTTTATTAAAGTATCATCAGTTTAAGAAATTGCAAAACATAATTTTAACTAATTTTTTAAATTTTGTTACTTACAAATATTTTAATATTGGGCATAAGTTTTCGCGCATCGCGCGTACAAAATGCTAGTATATATATATATATATATATATATATATATATATATATATATATATATATATATATATATAATTAATGTTGGAGCCCAATAAAGTTGGTAGTGTTAGTGTTTAGTGATATAAATCCCAACTTGTAATTGACTTGATTATTATGGCTAACAGGATAAGTTAGGTTTAGTGCCAGTTAGTTTTCTAAGTGAAGATCTAATGGACCAGACACTACACCATAGCCTTTTGAAAGCTAACCGTTGAACTACACCGACTTATCAGGAACAGCTAACAGAACAATTACATGGATTGAGGTTATTTTACAAGAAAATCTCTACCTAACTGAAATACCTCAAAGAGTAAGACACTAATTCAATCTACATGAAATATCTAAGAAATTACTTATCTTTCAAGGATCGGCGTATTATATATTCTGGTTAGAGAGAGAATTCCACATAGATGAAGAATTAAGAGTTTACTGAGAAAAAAATTAGAAGTATTCCACATATATACTCAAAGTATTTGCTCAATCTCTCAATTTACCGTAAGTTCTAGTTATTTATGTTAATATTCTATTAAATTTGGATGAAAAATCAATAAAAAAAAAAACTGAAATGACAAGTAAGTGTTAAATTTTGATTAATTATTTTTTAAAAAAATATTCGAGCCCAACAAAGTTGGTAGTGTTAGGGTTGTATCGAACTGATGGTGGTCTCCCAGATGTAGATACAATTGTATCGAATTGGGTAAACAATACCTATCATTACTTTTTGTTTGATTTCATTTCTGCACTTAGTCGTATCGCTGTTGCATAATCTTAGTCCATGTTTTCTCTCTCTTTATTTTCTTTTCCCTATTATTAGATCAAGAGTTCATTTCATCATTTTCAACAACAACCATGTTTGAGCAACTTCGTATGCACTTACTTTATAACGTTTGATTCTCTGCATGTTTGTGCCGACCAAAGCCTGTTTCTTACTTTATTATCTAATTTATAGCCCATTCTTCTTAACGACAAATTCTGCCTAGCTTTCAATTGACAAAATGTCCACAGTAGATTGAGACGGTCAGACGCCAGACAGCCAAATCATCTTATCCTATTCTCTTGTAATAAACGTGCTCAAATATGGGTAAAAAAAAAAAAAAAAAAAAAAGACAAGTCTAGTTGATTTGTCGTCGGACTTAAATGTCATGATTAGAAACGGTAGTGTGAGAATCTAAATTTCAGTGTCACTCGCAATTTACCTCCACATAATTCTAAGGATGGGATTATGTGAACTTAGGATCAATCTGACGAAGTTGGGCCACTTAAGGTTTTTTTTTTTTTTTAAATTTTAAATACCTTAAGTTTTTTTTTTTTTTTTAAATCCTCCTTATAATAAGATTAAAATATTTAATTAAGAAAAAAATGATCAAATAAACCCTATAAGTGAATTAACTAGTGCAAGTGAACTCCTAATAAAAAAAAATCACTCTACTTAAATAATCTCTTAAACCGACAAAAAATTTAAATAAACATTGTGGTAACATGTTTAAATTATTGTTTATTTTGCGAACATGTGGACTTCTTTTCTAAAAATAAGAATGTCTAATAATAAAAGTTATGTACGGATTCATTCTCATTAACATGATGATTATTATGAGAAGTTAAATGTTTGATAAAACACTTCTATACTTTTATAGTGTGTTCGTTGCAAAACAAGTTTTGAAACTAAGAGCATCCACATCAGTGCACTTTTCATAATTTTTAAAACAGTAAAAATTCAGCAGTTGGTTTTTGAATGATGGGAAACATAGTTTTTTGTCAATTTTTTCTCCTGAAAAACAACTTTTTTTTTTTTTTTTTGCAAGAAAAGAAAAGAAAAAAAGCATCGGAATAGTGCGTTTGGAGCGCACTTCGTGGTCCCAGCGGGCGCGTGCGTCAGAGTGGCCGCCAACTGGTAGTCGCTCTGACTAGTAGACCATTGCTTTCCGTTTTTTTTTTTTTTTTTTTTTAAATTGTCAGATTCTTTTTTTTTATTATTTTCTTTTTCTCTTTCATTATTTTCTCTCTTACATGGCTACCTAAAAATTGTGTAAAAACTCAACAGATGTGGATGCTCTAATAATTACATAAGAGATGACTATGACTATACTAGTTTAGTATTGGGCAAGATTATGTTACGTAAAATAAAATTTAAATATATAATATTTTTTAACATAAAATTGTATTTTTTTTTTTTAAAAAAAAAATCAATACTAGTTAATTCTACTTTTTGTCTTCCAACAATTGTACCTCTCTAAGACTCTAACATTTATTCATTGACTATAAAACTATTTACATTTGGTGTATAACTATCAAATTCTTGTTACATTTAGTCTTTTGGATCAATTTTTCAGCCAACCTTGACTAAAATCTTTCATATGACAGTTATATTAGTTAGTTTAAAAGAAAAAAAATTTGTTAATTGAACTTGAACAACTTGTAGACCACACATTTGGATATAATGATATTGGAGTTAATGTTGATGAAAATAAGACAATATTAGTTGAAAATCTTATCGGAAGGATCAAATGTTGTAAAAATTTGATAGTCATACATTAAATGTGAAAATCATAGTTAATGAAAATGTTTGAATCAACTTGTATTATATATATTTTTATTGAAAAGTATTATATTATTTTGCTAATACTTTTTCAATGAACAAATAATACCTCAATTGTTTAGTATATATAAAAAAAATCCCTTATTGTTCATTTTATGTGTCTAGTCCGGTAATGATATTTGACTGAAGTTATTTACAATTTATTTTTATAATATTTAATTTAATGTTAGCATATAAAATTTATACACTTAGAAATTATATCAAAAGTACTATTAAATACCCCAAAAAAAAATAAATTAAAAAAATCAAAGAAAGAATAGTTGAATTGACCCATTAGCAGTAAATAAGATAGGTAAAATGAGACCCTAAGAATACTTTTCAATAAAAATGTACTCCGTAATAATTATTAATTCATAAAAATATTATATTTAT